TCTGTATCCCCACACATGAAAACAGATTTACATGTCCCAAGAAGATAAACATATTTCACAGAAACATGATTTCTAGCACATTTTTGAAAAATAAATTAAAAAACAAAATCAACTTACAGCTTAAGTTCTTCCTTGAATAGTTCGAGATTACTCTTCTTTTTCTCTTCTGCCTTTTTTTTAAAGGTCTATCAAACAAACAAACAGCTGGTTATTAAAAACGTTCAAACACTGAAAGCTAAGGCTAATAGGACCGTATTTTTACATTAATACTTAATCAGATATTATGCATTTGATCCAAAATAAAAAAAAAAGAATAAACTTACAGACTTTTTGCTTTCAGCTGACGGTGAGACATGCTGGGACACGTGGACAAACTTGGTAGCAGGTTGGTAGAGCTTACTTTTCTTGACCTCTGCTGCTTCCTCCTCTGCAAAGATTAAGACAACCCTCGAATACTGATCCGGCTTATTTATGTAAACGCTTTCATTGTTATGACTTGACCCTGAACACCATTCGGACAGAAAGTGGCACTGGTTCCAAAAACAATTCATATAAACTCACTCACAAGTGAACTAAATGAGATGTCTGTTCATATAACAATACGTTGAGCAACTATGTTCAACTATAAGTAATCCTATAGTCCAGTTCTCCCAGAGTTCACAGAGTCTCTGAATTTTATTAAACCATCACAAACATGTGGCCCTTAAAAATGAAGATGGTGAACTATTTCACTGCTGAGTCAGGCACTCAGTTCATTATTATTATTATTAGCATTTTAAACATGCAACTTGAAATCAGGCTTGGTCCTGACATCCCACTGCTGAACAAAAGGAACATAACTGCAATGTCGCTAAATCACATCATGATGCTTGTGAAAACCCTCGCTGCTCACCTTTAGTCGCATTCACAATACCTCCACGGACAAAAGTTTTCACTCTGCTTTTCTCGCTGGTCTCAAATGAAGCCAGAAATTCTTCAAACACCTCTGCTGCTTTTTCTTCCTCCTAGACATACAAGGAAACACTATTTGTATTAATTCATTACCATATGATCTTAATAAGGTTTTATTTCCGCCAAACATTCAAAAAACACTCTCCATCGTATCTAAATGTTACATCGCAAACCCCCTGCACCTTTTTTTTGAGCTCCTCTTGTTCCTTCTTTGTGAGTGTTTTCAGTGGAGCTGCTGGTTTCCCCTTTCTATCTGCCATGCTCAAGCTGCAAGCAGTACATAATAATACACAAGGGTGGAAAAGTTCATGTTAAAATGCCTTTCAATTGGTAGCACAGAAGCAATTGTAGAGCTAGCACTTTCTTGTAGCATTTTCATGCTTTGATAATAACAGTAAATCTTAAAGAGAGCTCCCTGATCCAGTGGGAGGAAGAGCCCACAGCAGCAGACATGCACTGAAGGGCAAAGCAATAGAAATCTCTGTCTTCTGTTGAGTCATCTTACCGATTTAGTGTCACTTATGGCATCCTTTCTTTGGTAAGATATTGGATACAGACTATTAAAGGAGAAAAACACAGAGTATTAATCGCCAAATAAAATAAACAACACACAGGCTTAGAAAAAACTAGTGCTACTCATCAATAACCACACACAGTGCTAACCTATGGTACAAGGGGGGTGGACACTGGAGTGTTTACAACCCTTAAGTTTGATAGTTAAAGCCAAGAAGATGAAGTGCATTAAACTAAGAGGCTTTTTGAACAATAAACATGCACTACTTAAACAGAGAAGCTGGTCAGGTCCATCTGGAGCAAATAAACGTGTTTAAAAGGCCTGGACAACACACAGGCTACCATTCCACTTTGCTAATGTTAGCTAACGAATAAAGAGCTAGCCCACCCTTAACCTTCACATGAATAATGCTAGAGCTTATATTTCCTCTGTCAACCTATGACCCCAACAATTCAGTAACTCGGACACATTTGCATCTTTCATAATCGCAAACACCTCCCTCAGTGCTAACACTCACACAGAGCTCAGACACTCTTAGCTAGCTAACATAACTGTCTCTTTATGTTGTTCTGAAACGCCGCAAAAGCGCCGACTGACCGCGCAGGACAGCGTTTAAACCACAGTGCATGCACACAACCCGATATAACCGCAACTTACAACGTGTGTTAAGCTATTGCTTCACCATTTGTTTGCGACTGACAAGTGGTTTTTTTATCACATCGTGCTAGCACGAAACGAGTGGAGCTCCTGTGAGAGGACGCCTGCTCTTCTCTGCTCGGTCCGCAGCTTAATTAAAGGAGTCCGTATCTCTGTGCGCTCATACTCCACTCATTACGGAGACTTCTCTTTCTTTCATCTACCTGCTGCTACAGTTTTGCCTCCTCACGTCCAGGTTTGTGGTGGTCACCGGCTGTGGGGTTTTCATAAATCTCATAAATGTCAGTTTGGGGTTTAAACAAAGAGAGAGAGAGAGAGAGACCCCTTTATTTATTAAAGTGCAAGAGGCTGATTTAAAGCACTTTTGAACACCAGTGGACAAAAGACAGTCCGAATCAATTACTGATTATAAGTGACACGTGTGATGGAAAATATTAAGGTATATAAAATAATTATAATAAATTCAAAACGTGCCCCGATCATCAAGCTGCAAAGCAATTGGTGGACCTTGGCTTACTTGTTTTCATGATCATTTGTACCCATTATTATCCAGTCCAATCCAACTTTATTTATAGACTTTAAAACATAGTTACCAAAGGATAGCCATAAAAAACAATAACCACATATTAAACAAAAAGGAAAAATAAATAAAACATACTACAAACTACAAAGAAAAGATGTACAATAAATTAAAATTAAAAATACATTAAAAAAAATTAAAACTAATCAAATAACTGACTAAAACTGATTAGAAGCCAACTCTGATACTACTCCTAAAATGCCTTGAAGAAAGTGTGTGTTTTTAAACGTGATTTAAAACTCAAGTGTTAGGTCCAGCCTAATATGGAGGGGCAACGTTGCTGTCGTGGCAATTTGGGAGCCACACCAGCAAAAGCTTGTCCCCCTGGTGTTTTTTCAGACAAGGAGTGACTGGTCCTTGTTGTCCACTTTGAGGAGTGTATATGTGTTGAAGGTCTGCCAGGTAGGAAGGAGCTAGGCAGCTAAATATTTTTTTAATTAATTCTTAAATGGACAGACAATCAACGTAAAGAGGCAAGACCCAAGGAAATATGTTCATGTTTAGGTGTCCCTGTCAGCAGACAAGCTGGGTTTTTGGACTATTAGTAGGCACAATAATGAGGCCTGATCAATACCAACAAAAAGTGCATTACGGTAATCAAGGTGAGTGGTCACAAATACGTGTAAAACTCTCTAACTCACAAAAGTGATAAAAGACACAAGTTTAGAGAATTGCCTGAGATGAAAACTGTATTTATTTTGTCAATTTTAAGATTTATGCATATTTTTACCCCAAGGTCGGTAAAAACTGGTTCGTGAATCTGACAGTCATCTACATAAAAATGAAATGAGACATTGTGTTTGTTAAATGAGAGCACATCAAATAAATAAAAGAAAGGGGTCCAAGGATGGATCCTTGAGGTACACCACATGGGAGGGAGATGAACAAAACTTACCAAGTGAGACAGAAAAATATCTGTCAGGTAGGTATGACTTGAACCAGTAAAGGCAGGACCTCTGCCAACATGATGTTAAATGTTATGATCTAATGTGTCAAAGGCTACTGTGAGATCTAAAAGCACAAGTATAACAGAGTCCCCAAAGCCAGTGGTTTGAAGAAATAATAATAATTAAAAAAAAATTCAAAAGTACTTTAAAAACTTGACTGAAACACCTCAAAAATATTGTATTTGAAAAAAAGGCTGCAGCTGTAAGGCCACTAGTTTTACACACGTGGTACATGTATAGAGAATAGTTTTGATTAATGAACATCACAATACACAGTTTAACTGAAACCTTATGTGATATTAAATGGAAAATGAAGCAGTATAGTAAATGTCCACACACACCTGCTGTCGTCTATTTCCTATCTCTACCTTAGATTAAAAAGTTTCAGGTCATAATCCGCTGCCTTCATGAGCTGCATGTCAACATACAAAAAGTGGAAACTTTTATTAAAATACACATCTTTCTGTTTTCCTGTTGTCATTAGCTAACACCACTTCTGCTTGTTTTGGTCATTTTAAAAGTATTATGTCTGCAATAGCTAATTAGGTTTTAGAGAGACTACTAACCTCATTAGAACAGGGCAGATTAAAAGAACTACATTCAACCTATGATATCTTGTTGCTATGATAAATACATATATAAATATATTGATAATATACAGTTTCAAGATCCAAAGTTTAAAAGAAAAACGTATGGTACAATGTGCCATGCTCAAACTGCAAACAGTGCAACAACAACAACGTATGGTGAGACACATTTTGCCATAGATAGATAGATAGATAGATAGATAGATAGATAGATAGATAGATAGATAGATAGATAGATAGATAGATAGATAGATAGGTTGTTTTGGATAACCTTCAGTTTACTTTAGCACCATTCTGTGACATTACTGGGATAGTGGAATGCCCCATTAGGACCCGGGTATGATGGTGGAGAAGTTTTCACAATGACTGAAGAGGATAATTATTTGACTCACTGTTCAGACAACCAGGAGCAGTAAAGCAGTAAATGATTAGTGATATCCAGTGAATGTGATGAGAGCTGTACTATAGAAACATGTTAGATTATATATGTTTTATTTCAATGTTATAATAAACCTTTATACGCTAAACATTTTTTAAATAACTATCTACAGTGCACCAATTAATGTGCTATGCTTGTGCCCCCTGTGTCATTCTGGGTCTCCTGTTAAAAGGTGTTTATTACCAGATGGAGAGAAAAAAGGGTTAAAAGCCCAAAATGGCCACCATATCCCCTCATCATCATCATCATCACCACCAGCAGCAGCAGTAGTAGCAGCAGCAGCACCAATACCTCAGAAGCCCATCCCCTAGCGTCCGTGCTGGGAATGTACCGTGTATGCGCATGGGCGGAGAAACTGCCGCTGTGCGCTGTTATTATTGTAAGAGTAATTTCTTTTTTTTCTTTTTCTTTTCTTTTTTTCTTTTTCTTTTAAAAAATGGCGTCCAGTCAGGGAGGCGTGGGAGCTGTCACCGCTCTACAAAGCCATCACTATCCCACCGGACCTCACTGGAGCCCGGGCATCACACCGTTCCAGCAGCAGCACCACACGGCCCGAAGCCTGGACCGGGCTCTGGAGGATGCCGTGTGCTCGGGGATACTGAACCTGAGCGGCAGGAAGCTGAGGGAGTACCCGGGGATGAGCTACGATCTCACCGATACAACACAAGCAGGTGGGTTGGTGTGCACGCGTGAGGACTACAGGAAACAAAACGTAAACCAACAGAAAACACGTACTCGTGGATGAATGCAGCATGTCCGCATTGTGCATGGATTTTATCTCGATTTTGTGGATAAAGGCGCAATAACGTGTAGGATTATGATAACGTGACATTATTTATAGGAGTATACCGTGTACTCCGCGGACTTCTGTAAATGCACATTTGCTACATCCTGCTTGTAATTACTGTCCACCGGGGCTCGTATATATGTAGTTTAGTGCGCTGTTGTGTTGGTCGACGCCAGTAGCTTTCAGTCCCCCCCCCGCCCCCCGAGACACATGAATGAGACGGCAGGCGCACCCAAGTAGGTGCTGTGCAGTGGTTTGCACACCAAGCTGCAGCTGATTCGGCACGGGGCAGCTGGAGCACTACACGAATGAAGACTGCGGCAACGAAGAGTGTGATTCTTGCTCAATGAATATCATTTGTGATGAACATGTGGCACACACACGCGCGCGGCTTTTTTCATATTCGGCACAATCAGACAAAAGATGCAGGGTTCTTGCTGGCAGCCTCACGCCCCTTTGGTTGCTTGGCTGTATATGCCCATATAGTGTAGCTTGTAATGTACCAGACAGGAGGAAGACACGGGTTTACTTTTGGTTTCACGTGTAGGCTGATTCCTGTTTTAACCCATGTCTTTATTGGGCGATCTTTTTCTGGGTCACCCTTAACCGTAGTTAGTGGGTCAGTATTAGTGTCACGTTTTTCAGCAGTCTGTGTTATCAGTGTGAGGTCATACATACATAAGTTTTATTGGGAATGGCCTGACTTCAGTGGCTGTGCGTTTAATTAGGGTAGACATACATATATTCATCTTTTTGCACACATTTGGTAATTTTGGTAATACTGGCTTGCTATTTATCATTTCCAAGCATTAACATGAGCATGTGGAAGATGCCAAATCTCAGAAATGATAGTCTCCTCCTCTGATGTGTCCATAGACCATCTGGTGTTAATCTGTCATCATGTGCAGCTCTTACCCTTACCCGTACCCCCAGGGTGTTAAAATTTTCTACTCCAAGATTTCAGAACCTCTTCACATCTAGACAGTCTTCTTTGAGCACACCTGAAAGTGACTTGTTTAATTACTGAATCAAAAATAAAGCAAAAAGCACGATATGCACAGGGCTCCAGCCACTGAAAATCAGTTGTGGGCTTGGTAGGAGGTGAAAGGTTTGCTGAACAAGCAGACATGTCTTCCAGTACTAAGCTATAATCCAACTATTTTCTTACATGCTGCTCTGCTGTTCTTAGTCGTTAGTAATCGTTTTGTGAGTGGGCTTGTCCACCCAGATCTATGGAAATTTGCTCATTTGATAGTCATATGTGCTAATTCTCCAGAATAAACAGGACTTATAACAATACACACCATTAATAACCCAGAGGAGCTCAGGGCCTTTTTGTTTTACACAGATTGCCAGTCATGTTTCGTGACAAACCGCAAAACAGGAAGTTTGGGGTGAACTATTTACAGACTGTTAGGCCGTCTTTGTAATGATCTGCTCTTCTACTAGTCAGCTTTGCTCCATTGAACTTCAGTCAAAACATCTGCCAAGAGTTTTATTTATTTATTTATTTGCGTTTTAAATTTAGAAACAGCTTCTATTATCTGGAGTGCTCATTATAACAGCGATGATAACTCGAAGAGGTGGGAAGGTTTATATTTCTGTGCCAGTGCAATTCAGGTGCTGTAAATGCTGCACGCCTCGCGCTTGTATCTCACGCCTTCATTTCACTCTGTCAAATTAAAGGTGTGCCAGAAGGGAAGTGTCACTTTCAGATGTGCGAAGAGAGATCAACACCTCACGGCGCTACCCTTTACATCAATTGCAATCTCTGCTGCAAATAGAAACGGTGTCATTTTTGCTGGCTCAGTCAAAATCAGATGCAATTTAAAGTTAACTTTAATGCATCTTTTCTTATAAGTCTTTGCTGCAGCTTTCAGTCCTCACTGAACAGTGCCAGCTCTGTAAACTAAGACCCAGCTTGTTAAGCTACATTATTTGTTACACCTGAAAACTGAAAGGCGTTTAAAAAAAGAAGAAGTGGCTCTTGATATGTCTCGTGATAAGCTATTTCGATAACATTGCGTTGCTGCTCTTAGAAAGCGAACGGATTCATCTGACGGCTAAGCAGCAACCAAAAAGGGAGCGGACATCACACGAGGGTGTCCGTTTGCAGTGTGCTGCTGCTAGTTTGTCTCCAGTCGGGTTGTTTTCCCACAGGGAAAGCGCTGAGAATGCTGCCCCGAACTTGTGTAGAAGTGCATGCAGGTTAGTGCATCTATCTGGTTCATAACCCCAGCATGCCTCTACCTGCCATTACCCCACCGCCGCGAGGTGCCTTCACCGTACCTTCACAGGTGTGCGTTATTGTCAGATATTCAGCCAAGTTTACACCAGCTGTTTCTGTGACTTCTCAGGAAAAATGCTAATAAAGACATTTCAAATTGGGATTTCTTGGAGACCATGATGACTCATTTATGGTTTAATCAACAATACATGCATTAGATTTAGTGTGTGGTTTTATCTTCCATTTTTAATGGCTGTGCCACAATTGAAGATCGCACCTAATCTGTCATCACACTATAAACACGTCACTGTCTGGCTAATTACTCCGTCATCCACTAATAGTTTGATCTAATATTTAATGGCCAAAATGAAGAGGTAAGTGAAAAAAGGCGTGTAATGCAGTTTTTGTCACAAAAAGAGATAATTTGACAGCCAAGAACAAACCAAAAAGCCCACTAAGATACTGGAAGTCCTTGAAACAGGGGGCCAAAATGCAACTTGGGCATTCTTTATTCGATTTTGTGGGACTTTGTGTGCACAGTAAATCTCACAAGGTGCTGCTGCATTCCTTATAAGTTAAACTCTTCAAGGACGGCCTCCACAAGGACACAAGTATCAAGCAAACATTCTCTGCCTTAATAATCAACCAGTGTAAATACTGAAAGCGCCACAGCTCATTAAAGTTCAAGCAGGCTGACGCCCCCCAAAGGCTTTAAAAGTGCTGCTCATTCTCTGTGCTCTGTTAAATCAAACATCCTCTGTCTCTCCTGAAAGCCTGTGCAGAACAGCAAGCGCTTCGGGCAACAGAGTCGTCCCATAATTATGTCTTATATATGAGACACAACATAAAATTTTCCTTTAAATCCCTTTTTGAGAAAATTCTTAGTTTCCTTTAGTTGAAGGTAGTCTTTGAAAAATATCAGAGATAAAGGCCTTTACTCACCCACGCCTAGACTGGGTTATAGACGCAGGCCTGTATATTAATGATGCCACTGTTAAACATTTAGACTTGAATGTAAAATGATCAGAAAATGAAACGGTGGTCTCTAATTGATTCTTTTCTGTGAAGCAACAGCTTAAAAAGCACTGGAGTTACAAACACGTTCAACAGAAGTAACATTCACATTTTAAAAAGGCACCAAGGACATGTTCACAGAATTTTTCTTTTAGTTCGCAGCTAGGCTTTATCTGCGTGGCGTACGTGCGTGACAAAAAGCTCAACAAATGAAGGTATAACCACAGTAAATTAGAAATGTGTGTGTCATATAACAGAGTGTGACTATTTTAGTGTCGTCTCAAAGTAGGATGTGTTAGAATTTAACAGGAACAATGTGGCATGTCTGAATTTTCCAATCAGACATTTGTAGTGTCCAAATTTGTGTAGTGTGACACAACCAGAGTGTCTGCTTCTTCATTTAAAAATAGGAACATGAATCAAATGCTTGACATGTGATTTAATTTCATTCAATTAATTTCTGGTGTAATAGACTCAGTGAAAAATTAATGTTGGGGTTAATATCTTAGGCGCTAAATGTATAATAAATAGTTTGAACAAAAATCAAATACGTCTGAAAAGCCTATGATCATAGAATAGAATAGAATAGAATAGCCCTTTACTGTAAATAAAAATAGTAAGGCAGCAGGAATAACTAACAAACAGGAGAAATATATACAAAACAAGGGAAAGGCACACATTACAGATCAGGTTGCAAAGGACTTGGTCTGAGTAGAGTCCTTGTGAGTGGCCTGAGTGATGAGGGTTACTAAGACCATGGCTCAGATTGGTAGGTGGGTGGACAGGGATGCGGTGTAGGGGGATAGTGTTTGTTTACAGACCAAATGGTCCAGGGAAAGAAGCCGTTTCTGCACATCTATAGCATCTATATCTATATTAATGTTTTCGCATATTAATGTGTCTGTGTGTCTGTCAACACCGGGTGCTGCTGAAGCATGTCTCTGCCCAATCCTGAAGCATCTGGATTGGGCAGAGATCAAAGGATGCGGTTCATGGATCAATTGGACCGCGTTAGTGCCTGACGGTGATTACAAGCTCTCACGGACAACCCCTGCACAGTAGCTGAACAAACGCAGCTGATCAAGAGACTACCCGATCTCTAAGGCCAAATCTCACAAAGAGCACTCTGCACGGTCCAACCCGCAGCACCGGACCACACCCAAATCCTGACAGCCATAGTGGCTGTGGCACATCTGCTGCAGGGTGAAAATTAATTAACCCCAATTAATCATCTCCTTGACACCTTGACATGCACCTTCCATGTTTTCATTAAACTGAATCCTGCAGCATTATTGACAGAATACAGTAAATAGAGTATGATGGGCTCATTTTCCTGCAGCTTAGAGACAAATAACTTAGTGATAACAAGCTGAATTTCTAAATAGCAACTTAAAGCTATTTTTATCCTCTCTTCAAAATCAGTCTCTTGCTGATCAGAGACTCACTGTTTGCTCCAGAAGAAAGCAATTAGTATTCATTTTGCTGTGTCATGGAAGGACATATCCAAGCAGCATCTGCACTACGAACACAAATGAATAGATTGATGGTGCCGTGGAGCCTTGGTGGAGTGCTTCTCTGCCTGGCGGGCCTTGTTCTGTGGGAGCTTGAGGCTGCAAGCAGGTGGATTAAAGACCCACTGTGCGCTGCAGATGGTGCGTGGCCTAGGTTGGAGGAGGGAAAAGTGGGAAAAGATAGACAGGCATATAAAGCCTGTCTCCACCTACCCCCCAGCTCCCCCATCACCCAGATGATTCAGCTACTAACACAGAATACCCAGTTGTGGGACCAGATTAGGGTGTGGAGGGAGATGGGGGAATTGACTATATGCAGCTGGGTTACAGCATCAAGGTCCAAGCCTGAGGGAGAGGCAGAGTTTAGTCTTAATGGAAAGCGTGCATACCTTGTGACCTCAGCATTAGTCTTTCCCCATGTGGTAATTTCTGCTTCCCTTAACCCTTTGGCTTCTTTTCCCTTTGTGCTGCTGACTGTGTCATAGTCTGCTTCTCACTTCTGCTTACTGACTGCTGTCAGAGCCCATAGACAACTACACAGTCAGAGCCTATCTGTGGAAACCTGCTTGAGCTTTAAATCCATATTATCTGACCTTAGTTTTCTATAACCACTGTCTGGACGTTTGGTCATTTTAACTGACTAGTTTTAGTTTGACTAGTCACTAGTTTTGCTGCAACTAGTGGCACTTTTGTTTAAATGCTATTGTGAGAAGCCATATTAGGAATCAGACTAGTAGCACCAGAAAGCTAATCTGCTTTCATGTATTAGTGGCATGTATGTAATAAATGCAACTTTCTCTTTTCCCTGGTATTAATTAACAAACAACAAAAACAAGAATTATCCCTCCAGACAATAACTGCTGCAATCAAATGTCCGACAAGTAGTGATAATGACTAAGATCACGGAGGACACTGACATCTGATATAAAGGATATGGAACAAATATCTAGTTTATTATTGATTCTTCAGTTTGTCTGATTCTTCAGGCGGTTTTGTTCTCCTCAAACTATCTTGTAATCTGACCGAATGGGGCGAAAGGTTCAACATATAGTATGTAATGTTAAAATGCAGGTAAATCAGGCCATTTCAATACAATTCGGGTCAGTTTCTTTTCATAGCTGATAACAACCTTCAGTAAAAGTAGAGAAGGTGTTACATTGCACTGGGGATGAATGAATAAAGGCCTTACTTCCCATATTTAAATACTAGATACGATATCCTTCATACTAAACAGTAACATTTAATAGCAGGTAAGTGAATTTAGTTTCATTAAAACCTTTATACTGTAGCTCAGTTGTTTAATAAATAGTGGTGCCTATATGTAATTTCACATAATGAGGGGATGGAGGCGCAGCAGTGTTTGGTTTTCCCAAGCAAAGGATAGCGCACTTTGGTTATGTGGGACAGAATAATTGAAAGCCTTCTGTTTATCTGGAGCTCTGCAGCAGCAGCTCCTCACTCTAATTATCTTGTCACCCAGAGATAATTCACAAGACAAGATTGTTCACGCATGCACACACACGCACACGGACACAGACACGCACGGCTCAGGAGGGAGAGCGGGTTGTTCACTAACCCCCTGCTACTCTCCTCATGTTGAAATGTCCTTGCCACGATACTGAACCCTTACACCGAACCCTGGTGTATTATCCGTATGTGAGCATGTGTACAGTAGAAAAACAGAGTTGTAAGACTCAGGTTGCGGTGTAAGGTGCTTTTAGAAAAGTGATGTGCCAATGTGTCCACATTCTCAAAGAATTTAAAGGACATTAACTTGACTTACTGTCAATTTCCTCTGATCTAAACTACTATTTGCCCAACCTTTAAAAAGGCATTAATCTTAGTAGGTAGTGATTTATGTTACTTTGTAGCAGACATCCTCATAATGTAACTGTGTTAACAGATTTAGGTTAGTGAAACACGAGTAGAATACCAACAGCACACACGCAGACACGTACACACATAATTTATAGACACTGAATCAATAAGTGTTTGACGGGGAATTCAGTGCAGTGCAAGGTAACCTTACAAGTATCCTTGTGTTTCTGGTTAAAGTGCACGGGGTCAGTGATTATTTAAGCGGAAATGTGGGCACGATCTAAAGACCTTTAAAAGAAAATAAAGAGTTAAGCTATGCTTCAATTGATCACAGGGCATATTTACATTTTGTTGGCAGGTAGCAGTGAAATTTAATCGTCATGTTTCAGTGGATGAACCTTCCTGTTTTCCTCTTGCAACATAGGTTGAAGACTGAGCCTCAAAGACCATCAGCAGTATATAGGATAAACATTATTTAATATGACTTTCCAAAGTAAGTATTTGGAATACATGTGGAAATTCTGAATGCTGGCTGAGGACAGATATCTGCATAATGAGCTTAAGCATCTGTATCTGTATGCTTCCTTTATTTGACGTTGTTGGGATGAATTCTAAATATTTTATTACAGCAGGCAGATAAAAATGGGGGGTGGAAGCAGAGATTACATTCATGTTCCTGTTGCAGAACAAAAGCACATGCATGTAGCTCATTAATGCATGGCTATGATTTTTTTTTTAGCAAACTGCCTTCAGCGGTTAAACAGAGCATGTTTAACCGCTACTTCTGCTGTCGCTTTGTCGTTTACACAAAATATCTTGAACGAAAGGCCTCGTCTGATTCGGTCGACATAAAAATGGTAAAATTGACCTCATTTGTTTGTACAGATATGTTTGGCAAACACGAAAGTGTCCTACTTATCAAATCTGTGTGCTAAACATTCATCTTCTGCCAATTTAGAAGCTAACTTCAGTGTTATCAGGCGACACAACAGACAGCTCGACAAGTTTAGGAGAACTTGTCACATTAGCTGTACTGTCAACAGTTGTTATTGCCATTTGTGGTTACCAGAAGGTGACTCATACTCATTTTCCTTTCTAGCCACACCTTGAAGTTGGCACCGGGTGTTTTACTGTAGGTGACACGTCGTGACAGGATTGAGATGGGTTGGCATTGAACTTGGCAAGGGACAATAGTGACTCCTAAGACGAATTCCTTGTAACTTTGTTGATATCTTAACTAAGAAATGCATGCAAAACTCTTAACATTTAACTGTTGGCGTGGGTTTTAATATGAGTGAAGGTGAACTAAGCTCTTAAACGTGAAAAACAATTTAGCCATTGTGATATGCTGCCATGCTATTATAGCCTTAACAGTTGATAGTATGGTTGTTTACTCTGGTATTGTTCTATTATATATCATAAAATGATTGCAAATATGTTGAATTTGTATAAAAAGACTTATTTCAGTTAAATGCAATCATAGAACTCATTCACTTTTGACCGTTCTTTTAATAAAAAGAGATAAATCCTATAAAGGATCCTAAATAAATTATTCTGTGCCTCAGCAAACCTGATTCTTCTCTTCAAAAAGTAACCCAGAAAAAAAATTATGGTTATTTTATTTTGTTGTTAACTTGTCTTTCAAAAAAAAAAAAACGACAGATGTAGGATGAGTTCCAACACTCTCCACTCATTCATACAAATCTAAAGCCATTAACGTGCCACTCCCAGTGAGATCGATGCTGGAAATACTGACGTATGACAGCACTCAAACCTATAAAGCCCAAGACTCTGGTGTAATATTAGACCAACGTTCGATGAAGAGCTACGTTTCCTACTGCTCTGTCACAGATATGTATTGATCAGTGTTTCGAGGCTTTGGAAATGGCTTCTTGTGCAAAAAGCACACATAACTGATGTTAAAGGGTTATAATGAGTTTGTCACCAGTGTGCTTATGCACACAAGTATTCTGTTTCTTCTCCTTGCAGATCTGTCTAAGAATCGTCTCACAGAAATCCCCCCAGAAGTGTGTCTGTTTGCCCCCCTGGAGTCACTCAACCTCTACCACAACTGCATTAAGTGCATCCCAGAAGCTATTATCAATCTGCAGATGCTGACTTATCTGGACATCAGGTGAGCCATTGCTAACACTATACTTTTATTATTGTTTCAGACTCTAATTGAATACAAAAGGAGTGAATGTTGGTATTCAGTTATATGCCAAAAAAGTGCCTGTTCCCCTTTCACCTTACTTACAGGGTGAAAATGCTCATGCGAAAGAGATGTTTCCTCTTTTGCTACAACTCAATTCCCAGTCACCATCGTCTCAGTGTTACACGCTTCTGTATGCTATTTTAAATGCAGGTCATTGTTTTGTCTTTCTCTGCAGCCGAAATCTTCTGACAGTGTTGCCGAAATACCTTTTCAACCTTCCCCTGAAGGTTTTGCTTGTGAGCAACAACAAGCTTGTGTCCATCCCTGAAGAGATTGGCAAGGCCAAAGACTTAATGGAACTGGTGAGCAGCCTGTATACATCAGCCTTTGTATACAGTACAGAGCTTGAGGCACATACACCAGTGTTCTGTCTACACATAACAGAAAACTTAGCAAAGAATCAATTTTAAATTGTGTCTTTAGGCACTTTTTAACTAGCAGCCTGTCACAAAAACACAACCGTTTGTTCCAATTCATTTAGTTGAATCTATAAGAAAATGCCAGATAACACAGTTCGATAGACATAAAATTGTATTTTTACACCAACAAGGTGATTCCCAATAAGCTATTAGCCAAGAACTTGACATATCTCAGCATGATGTGCAGTATGTTCTTAAAAACTGGACAAAGTGATGACAAAAGAAAATGTGACAGGCCTGAAAGACTACCTGCAGCAGTGCGAGATGATCATGAAAGAGAAGAGAACAAAAGATCCAACCTAAAGAAGAGCTTTTATTGTCCTTCAAGAAGCCTGGAGAACTATGCCTTAGGACTGCTTAAAGAAATGAGAAAAAAGCTGCCTTAAGAGAGTTCAGGCTGTGGTGAAGAATAAAGGTGGTCATACTAAATATGGACTTCCAAGCTCAATAGATTTGTACAAACTCTGCCTTTGCCTTTTATGCTATATTTCTATGTTCTTTGCATGTCTCAGTAAGTTGCTGCACCCATTTCCCATTTTTCTATATGTATGTGTGTGTGAGAGGTGAGAGAGTGAACGCTAATAATTCCGTTTCTCACTCTTTGCCTCCCCCTGTTGGGTTGGATTTCAGGACGTGAGCTCAAACGAGATCCAGGCGCTGCCTGCTCAAGTTGGAAAGCTTCAAGCCTTGAGAGAACTCAACATCAGGAAGAATAGTCTTCACATGCTGCCTGATGGTAAATCCATCACTCATGAAGCTCTCTGTGTGTTTCTTTCACTTGAGACGCATTGATTGCGCATCACTGAGACATTTTGGCATCTATGCCAGACTTTCACAGCCAAGAGATACAACTGTGCCTTTTATGTTTTGTGTTGCCTGTTTTGTTACTGTTGGCACAGATAAACATAGCAGAAGGCAACTTAATAAATTATAGTAATATATGTCTGAATAACTAAGGATACCTGAATTGACAAGCCCAACTCGAGCAATTCCTACGTGTGGCACATGAATCCATGCAGTCTGTGCTGTTGTCTAACACAGCGGTCCCCAACCCCTGGGCCGTGGACCGGTACTGGTCCGTGGCTTTTTTAGTACCAGGCCAGGAGAGTTAAAGATCGGGTGTGAAATTTATGGTTTTGAGGGTTTTTATTATTTTTTTATCGTTATTTTTTAATCGTTTTTATTGTTGACTTGGTTTCCATGGGTCTTTTCCCGTGTGTTATGAATAAATCTGTACCGGTACTGGTTTTATTTTGTTGTATATATCCACGACACCTTAAAGGCCGGTCCGTGAAAATATATACATAAACCGGTCTAACAGATTAATAATATTTATAAAATTCTGTATAAAAAATCACGTGTTCAACACAATGAACTAAAAAAATCCCCTTAAAAGCAGTTAGAGATACTTTTACCCATATTTCTACATGCCCTTAAAGTAAGAACCATAGCAAAATATTGCCATTAATTTTGAAGGATGAAATGCATTTTAATCACAAGTCAAGTTAACCCCTTTTTACATTAAAGTACCTTTGAAAAGCTTAACATTAGAACCTCTGCCATAGATGGATGGAAAGAGTACATTATGACAAACAGAGCAATTGAAAAAAAATGTGTAATAACATATTTATAGATACAGATATGACCAGATATGATCTTTTTTTATTTGCTGAATTATTGTGGTTGCTTCAGGGTTAAGATAAGAGCCCAAAAACAAGAACTTGACTCTGTTTTAATGATGTTGTTAAACTATTTTTATAAGATCTACCCTAACAGCACATACAAATTTCTGATGATTGTGCAGTCGAAGCAGTGCACATCAGTTTCTTGTTATTTGTATTTTCAGAGTTGGCTGACCTGCCTCTCATCCGACTTGACTTCTCCTGCAATAAGATCACAGAGATTCCTCCAGCCTACAGGAAGCTGAGGCAACTGCAGCACATCATCCTAGACAACAACCCTATGCAGTCTCCACCGGCACAGGTATGAGGATTTGCTTTATGGTGGTGCTTTTGCCCATATGTGGGAACAGATGTACAGAACAATTGGAGGTTTATGGATTTTTAAAAAAAAAAAAATAGTGGTTGTTTTTGTACATCTAACCCATCCACCCGCGTGGATTTCCTTGTAGTTCCCTCTGTAGTGGTTGGAGTGACTTCAAGAACACATTTTGTGTTTATCTATTTCAGATTTGTCTTAAAGGCAAAGTGCACATATTTAAGTACCTGAACATGCAGGCTTGTAGGATGGATAAGAAACCAGACACCCTGGACCTCCCCTCTCTTGGCAAGCGTTGCCTACCGCAACCACTAACAGATAGGTGCTGACAGATTTACTAACTTACTTGCAACCATCATCAAGTATATCATTATATCATAATGCATCTATTTATCACTTCTATTCTGTTAAAAACACCATGCATTGCATTTCTGCTATCTAATCATTTAATGCTGTCTAATTTATGTCATTTTGCACAATTTCAGCATGGAAGATTTTTACCCAAGTAAGAACCACGGTCCTGACTCTGGAATTGGTAGTGACAATGGTGACAAGAGGCTGTCTACAACAGAGGTGAGAGTCCAAACAAGTGTCACACATGTGACATCACTCACTGACTTGTGCCTTCCTGTTTTGGAGCCTCGAGCTGAGCTATATTTTTCTGAAACCAGATCTCATCAGTGATGGGTGGATTTGAAAGCTTAAACAGACTTATATATTAGGGAGTTGTCACTCCTAGGTGAGCCACGCCCCAGAAAGTAGAATACAATTTTATTTTCTCTTGTGTGAGAAAATAAATACATTTTACTACTTAAGAAAGAGCACATATTGAGATATATAACTATGAAAGGGTAACCCGTATCATTTTCTTGATATAATATGAGCTGTTTTTATAGGTGGCTGTTGTTTAAAAAAAAAATACAGACAGAAGTAAATGTTAGCACACTTGGTAAAACAACATAAATATCTGACTAGACCAAGTGGCAAGATGTGACCTGCAGGGCACTGTTGGATAATGGAAAGCAAATGTGCAGGGAGGTTGGTTGTCAGCAGCAACACGTGAAGCTTTGTGAAGGTGGCAGAAGTCCAAATGGAAAAATACTGATGTGACAGTAGAAGGTGGAAATGTGCAGCTCTGAATAACATATTTAAAGGACTTCCCTCCAAAACTTGAGTAGCCTCCCTTATGCCTGTAAGCTATAGCATTGCAAAACACTGTGTGAGCTCATTGTTGTGACAGGAGAATAACCGACGAGACCCAAACCAGTATAAGAGACAATGATACTTTCAGAAGGATGTCTGGATACATGCAAAGAACTACAAATGCAACTCAAAAGATCATTAATGGAGGAACTGAATATATACATAATATATCTGCTCATTAAAGTTGCTTAGTAAGGCTGTAAACGTGACTTGGCAAATGCTACAGTCACGTGTTGCAGGTGTGGTTTTTTTTCCTTTTAATCCTTTTCCATTTAAATACCCAAAATAGCAACAGTAATAATTCAGGTGAATTGATTGCATTTGAAACTTGACTTCCCATTCCTCTGTTTTCCTCTCCTTCAGCCTTCAGACGATGACACTGTCAGCCTGCACTCTCAAGTTTCAGAGACAGCCCGTGCCGACGCCCTGTCACTCCTCTCCAAAATGGACTCTTGCAAAGGTTACCGAAAATAAGTATCACATATTCCCTTTGAAAGCAATAACAGAGACACGGGGTTGTTGAATAAAGTGCCTAAAAATGTGACAGTTCATGTGATGAACGCGGATGCTTCCTCCCTCTATCAGATCAGGATCTCTATGACTTTATAGAGCCCAACCCGGACGAGGATCCTGCTCTGTCAGAGTGCAATGGGCAGCAAAGCAGTCATGTGTCTTGTATAAAGGTATGAATTCATCAATCAGTCTAGAAAACCGAGAAGAATGTGGGAAATCTTTTGAAGACACGTTGGGAGAGAATATCTATCTCTGTGTGCTTGGTCCCGTGACGTGACGTGATGTCCCTGTGTGCGTTCCAGGAACTGGAGAAAGTTCTTAACATGTCTCACCAAAGCAAAGATAAAGACAGCTGGAAAGAGGAGTCAGGGTGAGTTTTTTTTTGTGTGTGCAATGCTGTTACTTTCCACCATCCCCTGGACTTTTTAGGGTAACGTAACCACTCGCTGGAAGGTGAGCTGGCACAGGTTGTGCTAATTGCTACCCAAATCAGATCCAGACAGACCAACAGAGCAAAATTTGTTTTCGGGAAGCAAGCCCGGAGATGAGGTTAGGCATATGGAGAGTGGACAGCCAAGATGTTGGGCTCAGTGTGCCCCAAGGCTAGCGGGTTGAAAGAAAAACCTGAATCAGAAATATCCAATGAAAGACATGAAAACACCAGGAGTGGTTAGCCTTAGCGTGACTGCCACACTGCTCACCCGCTCTAATGAGAAGTGAGTGGGAAGACCTAGGTATTTATACTGGAGCCAAGGAGTGGTTAATACAGACCAGGTGTGCCACTCCAGCAATTTACAGGAACCAGAGGAAACCATGCGCAGAAAGAGCGAGGGGGCGTGAGAGAACAGAAAAAAAACTTTCACTTTGTTTCTTATCGCAAGTGGCGGCCAGACTGGTGTTTGGTTTGGCAGAGCTTTTAGCACACACAAAAAGACATTTTGTATTATTTATTTTTTTTGTGCATGTACTACCAAGGAGATCTCTTTGGAAATGACGCGTTAGGTGATGACACAGTTTGATGGCTTTCTACCAAATTGCATTGACATTCACATCAATCAGCGACTTCGATGATGAGTGGTGCCAGCAGGTTTCCCCCTTTAATCATCTGCATGTCTCAGCCTGAAACCAAAGACAAACATAATAGGTTAACTGGGGATTCCACACGTGTCTGTAAATGTGCTGGCCCTGTGACACACTGATGACCAGGCTTGGGAGGGGGTGGGCAAACTTTGCCCTGTGGCAGCTGGGATAAGCTGAATTGGATATGAAGAAAATAATAAATGGATGTGTGCCCACACCTAGATATATCTCTAATTAATCACTTGATAGTAATTTTGTTCCTCACCTTTCCCAGTTCTGATAAGGAGCAGCTAGCTGAGGAAGAGGACGATGAGCTGAAGGAAGTGCTTGACCTGAGGAAGATTGCTGTCCAGCTTCTGCAGCAGGAGCAGCAGAACAGGTGTGTGGCCCTCACGTCTACTCTCGTAACATAACAGTAGCTGTGTGGTACATCAGCGTTTGCTTAGCTGCTTAAATCCGTGTTGTTCATGTAACATCTTTCTGCAGTTAGCCTAACAGCGATTTCTCCCTGCAAGCCTATAATACCAACAGCATTACTAAATCCGCTTAAAGTCCTCATTAATCTATTCCTTTCTAACAATTTTCTGTATAGGAAAGCGTTACAAAGTAGGCTTACATCATGAGCTTTTAAAAGAAACACAGTTGTTTTAAAAACTTTCCAAAGTCGTTGAGCGTGACTTTTAAAACAAAGCAGCATTACTGCCTAAGCTTCATCAGTTTGATGCCAGCGTTTTGCAAAGTAGTCATAAAAAATGTGCCGTGACTAATACATGCCCCGCTGTATAGAAATTTTAAGTAATAGTCCTGTAAGTGGTTTGACAGAGCAAACAGACAGGCATCGAAGTCTACATTTCCAGTGAACTGGACAGTTTGGTTTACTCATTGAACAAATCCACTGCGTCAGCATTCCTGCCCAATCTTTTACGCCACATCTCTACCTACTGCACTTTACCGCTTTTGTCTTTGCAAGTCAGACCCATATCAGCTTTACCTGACTTTTTCTTCTCCACTTTTGCCATTTCCTGATCTTCTCCTGTTCCCCCGACTTGCCTACTGCTTGTTTGCGTGGCTTCTTAGACGACGGTCCTTAATTTGCAGAGCCGAAAGTCTAATTCACAGGAGGAGAGTGACCGGCCGGGCACACAGGTAGAGCGATTTTTTTTTTGTCATGGTTTACAGTTTGCTTTTTCAAATTAATTTCATACATACAGGCGTCTTACGAGAATAAAGTAGCAGCTATTTTTGATTCTTTGCACTCACTTCCTGTGACTCAGTGTTTGGTGACTCAGTGTACTGAGGTTTTGGGGTTTTTTTGTGACATGGTCAAAAAATATTTCATGCACTGCATGTGCAATGTAATCTCAGCCTGTTTGAACAGTTCTTGTGTTCGTCTGTTTGCCGTATGTGTCCGTCTGCAGATTCCTCAGTCACTCTGGAAGCTCCGGCAGCAAACCGAGACTCACACCTCAGACCGCTCGCAGGTGAGTTCTGTGCTAGTGCGTCTTCAGCTTCCAAAGAAAACTAGAGAGATGTAACTTTTGTAGATAAAATAACTCACGTTTGCTAAGAAAGCACATTAATACCCACCCCTGCACCTGTCAGTTTGTGTTGATTCTTAAATCCTCTCTGCTTGTTTTTAAAGTACTTCATGGTGTCACTCCAGTACGTTTCACATGCTTACAAGCGTGCGAAGCAGTGTGCCCTCTCGTTCCTTGTGTGCCAATCTGCCATTTGGGGAGGAAACCTTTAGCTTTTATGGACTGCTGATGGAATTTTCTGCTGGTGTCCCTGAGAGAATCTGAAAGCGCTAAAATCTTTCAATCTAAACCCACCTCCTTTTTCTGGCATTATCATTCAAAGACTTATTGTGACCTTACTTTTAATTTTTTTTTTAATGTATTTTTAAAAATTCATTATTTATTCCATTTTTGGATTGCTCCCAGGGTTACCTGCTTTACTCCTGCGCTACTGATTTTTTTAAAATTTTAATTATTTAGCTTATTTTAAAATTGTGTGTTGTTGCATTTAAATCTTTATGACTTCTTGTCTTATCTGGCAGCTTAAGCGATAGAGTCCTCAGTCTGGGCAGCGTCCACCAGAATCACTACTCCTCACTAATGGGGAGCACTAATCACTAATCAACAGTGTTGCTTAGGATTTAGTGAAACTTGCACACAAAGATCACCTCACGGGTCTTCACCCAAACTGTACTCAAAGTCAGACCGTGCCACTTTATGGGCAGCTGCTTCTCACATTTTTCAAGCTGAACTCAACATGTCCGGGGCCAGTAAACTGCTGCAGACGTGATTTACTAGCTTCCAAAGTGTTGTTCAAGTTAATCACAGGGCAGCTCGGTGGTGTTCTCCAGTAACACTTAGCTGTGAGATATACAGGAGTCTTGCACACAGATTTGTTTGTGAGTAACACAGAGCAGCCAGATTTGTTCTAGAACGCATCAACTTTTCCAAAACGTGACTGGCGGTGTGAGTCATGCACAGTTTGTCTCCCTGTCTCCAAATATTTGTTGACCCTAATCTCTTTTGTTAGTTGCATGTAACATAACTTCATGGTATTTGAATGTCAAACAAAAGCTTGTGATGTTATTGTGTTGTTATATCAGTGCCTCTTTAGATGAAGGAAGCAGTGGAGCGTCAGTGCTGAGTGGACAGGTACCAACTTACTTTCTTTAAAGCAAACATACCGTGTTTCATTCACGCCCGGTTTTCCAGGCTTGTGTTTTTTTTCTTGATTGTGCCTCCCATTCTTCTCTGTAAGATGCGCAGAGTTTTATAGAGATTTTCTTTAGATTAATTTTAACTGCTTGTGTTTACAGCCCTCTTCCTCCTGCTCCTTTGATGGCTGTCTGAAGACAGATCAGTCTGATTCAGAGCCAAAGTGGCCTGAGATCCCACCTGTCCTCAATCAGAATGAAGACCGCAGGCGGAACAAGTATCTACGAAAAGATTATCTGAAGGTTGTGCAAATTCCCAGATTCTCACTGCATATTCAGTAATGTCTTTGAAACACATTCTGGATTTGGATGTGTAGAATTTACAGACAAGAGACGAAATTTCTGCCACCAAAAGTTCTCTTGCATGTAGTCTGCTTGTACTCTGTGCTTGCACTTGTACAAAATCCGTCACGTTTCTTTAGGCTTTGGATGAATGCAGGTGATAAACAGTCCCCGTGAAGAACAAAATGTAGTGTCTACATGACCAAAACAAAAAATGCATGCATTCACACACGTATTCATAAACAACTACCAACAGACCAAAACATAATCTTGGCTTGGATTTCTGGAGACTGCTGGAAAGAAAAAACAATGTCTGTCGCTCCCAGATGCTGAGCGAGCAGATGGGCCAGGGACTTTCTAGATTGCATCTACTTGCAGTAGGGCTGTTCAATATAACGATATATATCGGATGACGATTTAAAAACGTCTGTTTCTTTTTACGCTATCGTTTGTTTCGTGGTGTCGCAAAATAAACTGTTTACGGCAAAAAATTTTCATCGTTTTGATGGTCACTGTAGTGGCTATATTAATTTCTTAAAGTTCTCTCTTTCTCTTATATTTAATATAACCACACTACAGACAGACAAGCATTTGTTTTTATGCATTGTCGTTAACAACAGCGACGGTAACAGCATCGCGTGTCCGCTTGTTTATGTTCCACATAAACCTTTCACAATAAAGCTCAAGATCCTGTTGAGACTTTTCAAAATAAACTGAATCACGTGAAAGAGCAGATTATTTACGGATGAGAATTTAAAAAGAGCCGCCAGGTGCTAAAAAATAAACCTTGGACTCAACCGTTAGAACAGGCTTTTCCCCGCAGCACGTTGTGTAATAAATACAAACAATGAAAAAGGCGGCTGTCTAAAAATGTATAGTTTCATGCATCGGTTAAAACACTCGACTCCAGCTACATGACGCGCAGTTGGAAACACTTCCCGCAAGTCGAGCTGCCCGAGATTCACAGAATTTACAGAAAATGTTACATTTTTGTCATTTATATCGTTATCGGACGATAGAATTCTTATATCGGTCATATGGCACAGCCCTAACTTGCAGGATACATTGTGCTATCAGACAGAATTGCATGCTCTATCTGATTTTCTGTGATAGCCATCTCCAAATGTACAATAATGCATGACTTTATCAGAATGATTAGAGTCGCACTGATTGTGAACACGGAAGTCAAAGGCTTCTATTTTGAGTGAAAATTATTTTAAGAGAAGAAAAGTTTAATTTGAGCCAACAAAATCCATTGCTGCCTGCAAGAAATGTATTTCAGTGTTTGCTATTATCCATATGCACACACAATAACAGCCCCTCTCGCTCAGTTGTTGGGATTTGTTCTTGCTCAGATCTCTACTCTGTCTGCTAACAGACATCTGCGGACCTGCTCTCAACATTTCTGCACCCTGCGCGCTCACCTCTTTCTGTACACCCTTATAAGCAGGGGTGCACATAGGTGGTCTGCAGGTGCGCATTCGCTGTCAAAATAAAAGAGGCGCACCAGATAAGAAGTTGCATTGTTTGCGTACATAAGATTTTCTGGAGGAGGACAGGCATTTGTTTAGAACTCTTAAAGATGTCGAAGAAGCAAGCTCCTTTAAGCAATTACTTTGGTGTTCCTCCACCTCCAAAGAAATGTCAGGAGTCCAAACCACAAAAGAAGCTCGTATTCTCGGAAAAGTGGTTGCAGGAGGTGAGCTGGCTTCAAACAAATGATGAACGCACAGAGATGTGGTGCAGAATATGCCGTGAAAATCCCACTCTAGCGGACAAAAACACTGCCTTTTATATGTACGCAAATCCGCGTTGCAACTTCTTATCTGGTGCGTGTCTTTTATTTTGACAGCGAATGCGCACCTGCGGACCACTTATGTGCACCCCTGCTTAGAAGTGTGCCACAAAACCAACCAATCACAGACTTGGATGCAAAAAATTCTCATGGCTGTTTTGGTCACCAATAGCTCGCTAGCTACTGCATTCCGGAAACACTGTCCAGAATGTAGCTAAACCCAGTGGAGTGGTTTGGTTTAAACTAGATTAAAACCATAATGGTCTTGAAAAATAATATATTTTAAAATAAAATAATTAAACATAGTAACCGAAAATGGGTTTAGCTACATTCTGGACCGTGTTTCCGGAATGCAGTAGCTAGCGAGCTGATTGGAGACCCTAACAGCCAATCAGTATTTTTGCATCAAAGTCTGTGATTGGTTGGTTTTGTGGCACACTTATAAGGGTGTACAGAAAGAGGTGAGCGCGCAGGGTGCAGAAATGTTGAGAACAGGTCCGCAGGTGTCTGTCAGCAGACAGAGTAGAGATCTGAGCAAGAACAAATCCCAACAACTGAGCGAGAGGGGCTGTTATTGTGTGTGCATATGGATAATAGCAAACACTGAAATACATTTCTTGTATGCAGCAATGGATTTTGTTGGCTCAAATTAAACTTTTCTTCACTTAAAATAATTTTCTCCCCAAAATGCAACATTTGCACTTGCAATTTTTTTTTTTTTTTTTGCGTGCATTTAGAATAGAGGGACAAAAATAACGGCATAGTAGTGCAGGTCATCTACTAATGGCCATGTTGGCGGTTTGATCCCTGGCTTTTCCAGCCTTCAGTCTGCATAGCACAGTATCTACGGGCAAGATACTCGCTCCATTATTTTTGTGCGATTTAGAGGCACACTAGCCACTTAATGTATAAACATGTGCCGATCACTCTTTTAATAAGCGTGTCACTGTTTAGATAAATGAATAACAAACATGTAGCACCAGGTTTGCTTCCATAAATAGAACAGGAGATGAACAATTAGCATGAAACAAAGATCTAATTATCTCTTTTGTTGACAGTACAAATGTCAAAGTGCTCGCAAAAACTCGAGTGGCAACGCTGACTCTGAGGTGGGTATGAAAATGTTATCTTAAAAGATCGTGTAAGTGTTAATGCTGCGTCCCATTCTGAATTGGATGTGAATGTTTTATCCTCAGGAGGGTTTGCGCAACACTGATTTCAGCACTACCCTGACAGTGTTTGGACTTAAGCCAAGATCAGGTAACACATATGTCCTTGTTCTTTAAATGACACTGTCTGAATCGTTTGGCTCAGTGCTTTTCCTTTTCACTGGAATGATTGTCTCGGGGGTTTCTTGGGCATAAAAATAGTAACAAAAATAAAGTCAGTCAGACGGTTAGAACCCATCCTTCCCGTCGATTTGAAAAGATAATATAAAACAAACTGCTGAAGTGATATAAGTACGTTACATTTTACATGTTGTGTGGATATGAAAAAAGATCTCTCTCATATGTTCCAATTTCATTGAGCAAAAAACAAAACAATAGTGTTTACTTACTAAAAAAAACCCTTCTAAAGACATCATAGGTAAAATAAGCAACTCTGTCTAAAGGATGTGTTACCGCGGAAAACATCGTCGATGCCTATATTTGTTGAAATGACAATGTTAAGAATGCCTTGTTTTCACACTGAGTCACTTTTTTTTAAGGTGGAGTCTCATCATTCTTTCACAAGAATTAGGGAGGGTTTTCTAAAGAACTGCTGGTCTGCATCCCCATAACCAGCTTTTGGATACAGTCATGAAATCTTCCTGGATGTACAAATAAAACTTGTTTTACGTTGACAGGAGGATAATAAATCGTGAATTAACCTACTGGAAAAAAAACAAAAGCAAAAAAAACAAACAAACAGTGTCGGGGGAAAAATCACATCTGCCAGTTTTCAATAAGGATTAATGTGACAACCTCCTGACTGCATGTTCTCTCTGACTATAAATCTCAAAGAGCTAATCCTTGCCTTGCGTAGACTGCAGTGCCAGCTGAGCATTTTGTAATGCATGTCCACAATCTGTTCGCAATTTTTGTAATCTTGCATCTGTACACTGGCGATTTTAAGTCACACGATCAAGATGTGATTGAAGTGCAGACTTTCATCTTTAATTCAACTGGCTTAACAAGTCTTTCTTTTTAAGAACGACCTTTTGTTTGTCTCCTTCAGTTGCATCAGTGTCTCTTTGGGCCTCATATTGAAGAAGAAGTTTTATTATTATCCAGTGCACAGCAAAAATAATCGCAGCGGTTTACACTGATCAGTAAAATTAAGAAAGTTATTGGAATTCTAATAAAAAATAAGGAGCATAAATTTTTACAAAATAAAGTGCATCGAAGGAATACGTTAGAAGTGACCATGAAAGCCCAAGTTGTACTAATGCCTTGTGCAAAGGTCTTTAAAAAATTTAAAAGGCTTAAAGGTTATGGCTAAGCTGCTCACAACTGTTTTGGACAAAAGTCTCCAATGAGCTTTGATGCACAGTGCTGAAGCAGAATGCTTTGCTGGTGTTGCTTGACCTCTGACCGTCACATTTTACTTGAATGAGATACTCAGTGTGTGTCTCAGGTTCTGCCTTGGGGCGGTTTCTGCCTCGTATCTGTCTGATCTTTTCCTTTCTTTTCGGCTGCTTTTATTATTAGAATTTGTTGCTGGATTATTAACACAGCTTCTGTGAGGCTGGGAATGAAAGGAGACAGTGCTTTTGCAATAGTAGCCCCAAGACAAAACTCTTCTATTGTTTTATTTACATAATTTGTCATGGTATAGCGAGGGAAGAGGCCTCTTTTGGCAATGAACAGACTATCGTCCAGTCCATTTTGAGCTTCTGAAAACTGGAATATGTCATAATATCAAATATCTCTACTTCCTAAATAGTTGATGTAACATTTTTGATAAAGCTGAAAGTCTGCACTTTAGTCACATGTTGGCTGTTTCATTTAAAATAATTTCATTTAAAATATGCAGGCATTTTCTGTAGTTTAATCCATAAAGTGTTATACTTTTTTTTAGCCTATATATGGTTTGCAAATTAACTACTAACAAAATACAAACTTTAACACCGATCAGAGTATCATGAAAAAGTATTTTGACATATTTGTCACAGTTAAATGTTTTAGAACAGCGGTCCCCACAACCTTTTTTGCGCCACGGACCGGTTTATGCCCGACAATATTTTCACGGACCGGCCTTTAAGGTGTCGCGGATAAATACAACAAAATAAAACTAGTACCGGTACCGAAAAAAAGGAAATTTATTCATAACACACGTGAAAAGACCCAGGAAAACCGAGTTAACGATAAAAACGATAACAAAATAACGCTGAAAACCGATAAAAACCCTGAAAACGACACATTTCACACCTGAGCCTCAACTCTCGCGGCACGGTACCAAACGACTCACGGACCGGTACCGGTCCCAGGCCCGGGGGTTGGGGACCGCTACACTTAGAACATCAGCACATTTTAATAGTAGATAAAGATAATCTGAGTTGATACAAAATGCATGTTTTAAACGATGATTTTATTAATTAAGGGGAAACAAGCTATCCAAGTCTGCATGGTTCTTTGTCCAGGGTTGCCCCATCCATAGCAGTAAGAATTGAAATCAAACATTTATGAGAACTTGCCATCACTGTGGAGGAATTTTGCCCAGTCTTTTTGTTATTGTTGGATCATGAACTCTGAAAGACTCTCAGGTCTTTCGTGACCTCCTGGATGAGTCTACGATGGAGTAATTTTGGTCCGCTGGCACACTCCTGGCAAACTTCACCACTGTTCCAAGTTTACCTCCACTGAAATTAGCTTTGTAAAAAATTTGAGCAGTCGCAGTAAATTCATGATTTAACAAGGGCGTCAGGTAGCTTTGGATAGCTTTATTTTCATTAATTTACAAAATCATATAAAAACTGCATTTTGTATTTAAATGCAAAAAATTCTGTCTGCCTTATTTGGAGTGTTTTTTAATTTTCTTTTAAATTTACCTGTTATATGTTACCTGGCATACGGTGATATTCTTTGAATTGGCTCCGATTTTTATAAAAGCTCTTTTATAAAAGTCTAAGGAGGTTGGAAAGAAAGTGACTGGACGTCTTTAAGTTTCTTGAAGACGTTTCACCTCTCGCCTTGCTTTCTTCCCACGCTCCTTAGATTACAACAACAACATCTTTGATGACTGAGAACCTGCAGAGACTCTTTGATAAAAGTAAAGAAGACCTTCACTGACTAGGAAATGAAACTAAATCAGCCAGACTGTGTCTCGTAAACCCAAAGGAATGGGGATAACTTGAAATAAAGGAAGACATGCACAAGCACACTGTACGCTTCCTACTGTAAATACAGATTTAGATTGTATCACAGCCACACCTAATTCCAGGTAACACACAGCACAGATTGGTTCCTTGGACATTGTTGGGATTTGGTCTTATACAGTAAGAGCTCATATTATTTGATAGACTTTCACATTAACTCTGCATTTCTATTGTCAGACTGAAAACGAGCAGGTGGCCTGAAATTGAACTGAGCGACTGTGATGTACTAAATACTTTTTTTTTCTGTTCTTCTTATTTCCTTTGTGTGTTCTTTGGATTGTTACCCCCATCTGTAATTTTAGCCTTCACCAGAGGAAGCCATCAGGAGATCAGCTCTACAGACCCGAGCTTCACGATGAGAAGGAAGATGGAGCACTTGAGAGAGGAAATGGAGAAGATAGGACTGTTACGACAGGTCAGATGCCTTGCAGCTTATTTATGCCTTTGCGTTTGTACGAGTCATGGAGTCATACAGAGGCCAAAGCTCAATAGATCCTGCTTTTGTTTCAGTGTTTACGCCTTCGAGCTAGACAATTGCTTCTTATCCAGCCTTCCTGCTTAGGAATACAGATTCATCATGACTTCACTTGGTTTCCAAGGAATTAAGAAACACGCTGAGTCTAAATTGACTCATCTATTTATGCTGGGGCTATAGCGACGGAGGGATGGGTGTGGAGGGCTGAAACACTTTTGTTTTTGCTTATAAAAATAATTTAGGAATCAGGGTGGGCTGGGCATGCCTAGCTGGACCTACAACCTACTAATTCCAACATAGTTGGGAGGATGTGTGAAATTTAAATAAAAACAGAATGCAGTGATTTGCAAAACTCATAAATCCACATTTTATTCACAACAGAACACAGAAAACGACAGTTAAACAATGTTTAAACTGCGACACGACATCATTTTAAGAAGAAAAAATGGTCATTTTGAATTAAATGGGAGCAACACATGTCAACAAAGTTGGGACAGAGCCATGTTTGTCATTGTGCAGCATCCGCTCTTCTTTTTTTAACAGCAGGACTTTTGGGAGGGGAATGTTTTCCTGTTCTTATCTAATAGTGGACTCAAGCTGCTCAACAGTCCTGGGTCATCAAATGCTGGACTCCAGGCAGGCCAACTCAGCACCCAGATTGTAGTAGATGCAGTATGTGATTTGGCACTGTCTTGTTGAAATATGCAAGTTAAAAACAAAGAAAAATATGTTATCTGGAAGTGAGCGTATGTTGTTCTGAAGCCTGTATATCTTTCAGCACTGATGGTGCCTTTCCAAAAGTGTAAGCTGTCATCAGAGATGGAGGTTTTCTTAACTGAACACTAATAAAATCCCACATCATCCCTCTCCTGTTTCATCCACAAAATGTGGCATCCATGTTTTCCGAAAAGAATTTCTAATGTTGATTTGTGCGACCACGGAACATTTTCTCCACTTTGCCTCAACCAATGAGCTTCGGTTCTTTGCATAATAGAGCTTTAACCTGCTTTTGTGGATGTGGCATGGCAAACTGTGTTCACAGATGTTAATTTTAGAAAGCATTCGTGAGCCCCTTCAGTGATTTCCATGAGAGAATCATGCCTGTTTTAAATGGAGTGCCACCAGAGGGCATGTAGATCAACAACATCCAGTACAGACTTTTGGCCTGCGCAAAAAAATGTCTCCAGAGTCTCTAAATCAGGGGTCCCCAACTCCAGGCCTTGAGGGCTGATGTCCTGCAGTTTTCAAATGTGTCCGTGATCCAACACAGCTGATTCAAATGGCTAAATTACCTCCTCAACATGTCTTGCAGTTTTCCAGAGGCCTGGTAATGAACTAATCATGTGATTCAGGTGTGTTAACCCAGGGTGAGATCTAAAACCTGCAGGACACCGGCCTGGAGTTGGGGACCCCTGCTCTAAATCTTCAATAAAAAATATCTTTCATAAAATAGTAAAGGGCCTCAATTTAAATGTTTGATATTTTTCTTCCATTGTGAACAAAATACAGGTTTATGAGATCTGCAAATCATTGCATTATCTTTTGATTTACGTTTTAAACAGTGTCTCCAATTTTTCCGAACTGGCTTTGTAAGTACACTCTTACTGTTCCCACAGGAATTAAGAAGGTGTGCAGCTGGGTTCTGCTAACCAAATGCACTTGATTAATTCATCATCACCAAATTTGAGCACCTCAATGAAAGTCAACGTTTTGGCATTCTTCTCGCCTGGAGTATTCGGGCATTCTAACACATGATGGGACAAGGTCCCAAAGTCACACTGAGCAATGATCAGAGATTCTGCACAAACCCCAAGAGGTACAACTCACATGTAGCTCAGAGAATCCTTGCAGCTAACGAGGCATTCAATGCCAAGCTGTGGCATGTGTTTGCCTATTTACTTTTGCCATTTTCAAGCAGCCCTGCAAGAAAGGGACAAAGAAAGTATCAGGGGAAAGCGAATGATCAGGTTAACATTGTGGTTTAGTAGTTGCACACATGCCCGTGCAACCTGCTGCGTCCCATGGTGCTAAAGTGAAGTAACGTATTTGCTTGCAAACCATCTGTACAGAACCAGAGGTATAACCAACAGTCAGCATGTTGGAGAATGTCAGACACACCTAAAATATGCGAAGCATGCACAGTGTCGTTGGCATGATAATAAACATTAGAAGAGAGCAAAACACATCAAAATGACTGGCTAGTCTAATTCTAATGAAAAGCATTAGAGATGCAAAGTCTCTACAGGAGAGGCTAAAGAAAAATAATGCTTTCATTTTCTTAATCAGGCCAGGTTCATGAGGTGATGAGATGACAGTGGGGAAGAAAACAACCTGTCATCACTTGTCACAGAAATACAGGCCGGTAAAAGAAGCGCTATAAATTCAAGGCGTGCACAGCATACTTGTGATAGCATCACACACTGACAGATGTTTTATACAATACCTGACGCTTACATACCATTTTGCCAAATAAGGTTTGCCCGAGACAAAAGAACTCTTTGTCAAACCTGCCAAAACATCTTTACAAAAGGAGAAAAAAAATAAACAAGGGCACAAAGTAAAAGGGTGTTCCAAAACTGAGATGAAAGTCCTTAACAAAAGGAAAACAAAGTAGGCGTAGGTGACACTTTCCGTTATGGAAAAAGAACAGACATTACTTTGAGAAAAACAGCACTCCTTAGACTCGGAGTGTTCCCGTGCCTGGCTCTACTGGGTGTTAGGCCATCATAGCATTGAGGTGAACCTCTTTTTAAAGATGTTGTCAGCGAGAGGATTCTCGCCTCGTTTCCAAGAAAAGTTGCGGAAGCAAAGTGGTCTCAGGAAGCGAGCTACGATACATTTGATCTGTTCGTTAATGATCAGATGATGAGAATAAAAAATTGAAGGCAGATGAAATGACTTGAATAAGTGGGAACATTAAACAGAGAAGAAGACAGCCACCTGACAGCAATTGCTAACTTGGTTGGTATTTTAAAATTGACTGGGATTTTTGCAGTGGGTGGAATTTTTTGATAACAGCTGAAGGTTACTGGAAGTGTTTTTGCGTGCTGTAGCAATGTAGCCATGGTAAGGAAGGGCTGATTAATCTGAGGCGAGAGCCTTCTGAACTCAGGCAGTGGTCTGTTAAGCAGGAGTGATGGCATTTTTCCACACATGGAAGAGCTTTGGATAATTTTATAGAGCAGTGTCACACCTTCCACCTAATTGATAGGAGCTCATACACAATTTACACATATAGATCTAAACTACTGGGAAAATTATAATAAACACATAGAGTCTAATCAGAAATGTACTTTTAATTAATTTCTGATTGACCTGAAATGTATCAATAAACAAATAGTGTGTTTGATTCACCAGAAGTGTCTTTGTCAAAGTGCTGTTTACTCCTTCAGGGTGGTTGAAACGTGTGTTTGTAGGCGGTCTTGGAGTCTGAGACAATCAGCTCCAGGTTATGGGTCAATAAATAATTCAGGTTTTGTTCTTGAATCTTGTCCAGAGTTGCTTTGTAATGCGGTTAGATTCCTGTTTTCTGGCAAGGGTTTGTGATCTTACCTAACAGTCTAGTACAGAGTACACAGCCTGTCTTTATTTTATTATTTCCCTTGGATTTACATGTTGGTGTTGGGTATGAGCTTCCGTGTTTGGTTATAAGGGAAGTATTTAAATTCTAATATTTGAAAATTAAGCCAGGTGGTCATTTGTCCTAATGGAGACGCCTGTATAAGTGAAAGAAACAGTTTCCACGGCTGGATTCAACCCATACAAGTGGCTTCTTCTTCTCTGACTGAAGTGACATTTCAGGGTGTGCTTGTCCGTGCTGGGGTGAAAGCTTAAATTAGACTGTGGACAGAGCAGTTCACTGTTTGGGCAGCCAAGAGAACTTTCATTTCTAAAAACATAATCATTGTCATCGCTGGTTAGAAATGCTTTCCAGTCCAAGCAAAAGGTCAAACGGAAACAGATGGACTTCAGAAAAGTTACAGAAAGCAAAGCATCACACCACAGGAGCAGAACAGTGCCTTATTCATGAACTTCATGGGAAATCAAAAACACGTTCGAAAGCATGCACAAAAACATTCAATGGTAGACAATTGACTTCAATAACATTACCAGTTTCTTCAACTGCTTTGGATATATTGCAATGATAAACAGTAACTTTCCTTCTGATTTCCCACCTGAGGCAAGTATCTAATTCTTCTGTCACTCCTGACTCACAGCAAATAGATAAACCAAGAATACCAAGAAGTATTTGTTGGATTTTGTCCAACTCTCTTCTCTGGCAGCAGTACTAACCCACCCATTCATACAAAAACAAACAAATTGGTTATGTGGGAGATATTTAATAAAGACATAAATAACACTCTGCAGATCATCTGATTAACAGGGAGTGATTATCAGAACGCACATGCTCAGGTGTACTGGAAGCAAAAATAATATAGCTTAGTAGATAGCAAGTATTAAAAGGAGGATTTAATATGATCTTTCAGAGTTGCTTAACTTTCATTAAGCTGCGTGTGGTACACACCCAGGCACTTACCTCAGATCATTAACTGATTACACTCTCGTGAACCTTTGGTCCAAAGAAGCTGTTTGGCTAAATACAGTAATTAAAACTAACAGAATGAAATGAAAGCGAGAGGATGGAGAACCCGCTGTGAGTAATTGATTCAATGTTAATAAATTAAACACCTTTTCTACTCTTAGTGCGTTTTGTGTGTGTGTGTGTGTTTGCAGAACATTGAGTCCAGGCTCAAGGTGTTGCTTCCGGATGATGTTGGAGCAGCTCTAATGGACGGAGTTGTCCTTTGCCATTTAGCTAATCATATCTGTCCTCGGTCTGTTGCCAGCATCCATGTACCATCTCCTGCAGTGGTGAGAACACCCCATCTTCAAAATGAGTCTTTTTTTAAAAATTGTTAATGCCAAGAGTTAGAAATTCTCATGAATTTATTGGTTATAAAATTTTTGTCTGCTTAGCTATGTGGATTTTGTTCCGCTGTGAGTTTAATTAACTAAAATGATTGATATTTGGGCTTCCAGCCAAAGCTTAGCATGGCCAAATGCCGGAGAAACGTGGAAAACTTCTTGGATGCCTGTAAGAAGCTGGGTGTCCCACAGGTACTAACATTAACCATTTAACACTTTCATTCAGGCATTTCATACACGCTTCACTTCAAACACCACTTAACCTGTATTTATTTTGCAATATATTCTGTGAAGATTTATTACCTTCCATGGTGATATCCACCGTTGGGCTCTGAAGCACAAGTTCCATACAGTTTCTGCAAGTTATATCATGCATACTCACTGGTCTGGTTTTTGCCTTTATCCTTGATCCTTCTCCAAATGAAGAATTGCTGTCATAAATAATGAAAGACAAATATATTCTATTTGTCTCTGGTCAAATCTGCCTGTCAGAAAAGCTTATAACAGTTAAATACTGTCTGAAAACCCCACCTTTCTTTTTTATTTTTCTCTGAGAAAAATTAACAAAAAGACATCTCTCTGTTGACTCAGGACAAGCTGTGTCTGCCACATCACATCCTAGAAGAACGTGGCCTAGTGAAAGTGGGTGTGACTGTGCAGGCTCTGCTGGATCTCCCCTCTTCTAAGCCCACGCAGCTCTCGACTGTTTGACACGAGCCTCAGTTTTGCATCAGACCTGCACTCGTGCAGGATCACCTCTCTACCAAGCCCAAACCTTCTTCCTCATTACCAGGGACCAGAGATCCCAGTGGGGCGAGGACACAGTGGCCCCATGGGTCTTTTGGAGTTGACTTTTGCCTGACTGAAACAGGAGACAAGATGTCTAAATGCTTCTGTCTCTTCATATGATGTCAGCTACCACTTACCTCTCTTCCATCACATTTTCACTCTTATGCTGTTCCTATTACTGGGGTCATCCTGGATGTGTGTTTTCTAAGGTGCTGAGCTAAAACTTGCAGAAGAGGCACACACGACGATGAATCTAAGACATTAAAGGTTTGTGCGTCCTTCTTTCTAGTCACTGAGTCTGCGAGTGTCAGCACTGACCAAGTGGAAGTGAGGAAATGACAGACACATAACTCACTCTTTCACTGGAAAGGACTAGGCTGCCTGTACTGAGGGACCTTATTGGGTCCTTACACTTGAGTTGCTCTTCTTACTTGTTAAATTTATTTTCTCAGTGAATTTTTTCTTGATTTTTGTTTTCATGGTTTTACACAGTCTTCATCAGGCATGCAAGGATGATATCCTGTTTTGAGCAGCTAAGCCTGATTCATCAATTGTTTTGTTTTTGTAATGCATTTAGACAGTGCTTTTTGAAAGCCGGTGTAATCTAGGAATGAATTTAATGTTATTATCATGCAGACAGAGGACTTTACGCCTGTTTTTCTGGTGCAGTTTCAACACCTTTCGACCATAAATCACATCTGCATGCACCAGGGGACTTGACATTTGACCACTGTGATAATACGAACTTGGCTTTTGCCAAAAGCATGATATCTTGTTTTGTACTGTAGCATTTTTTCACCGTGTTTTTTTTTTTTAAACTCTAGGCCATTCTCGATTTTACCTTTTCTGAAGCTTTTGATACTTTGCTTCCAGCTGTTTCCAGTTAATGCTTGCCAGTTATGTGAAATTAGCAGCACAGATCTGCCGTATTGTTTATATTCTATGTGAATATTGTTTGTGAACGGCTGACTGATGGGTGCCTGGATCCGAAAATGGTTCAGGGTGCCCTTACAAACTTCCCACGCACGGTATGGTCTTATTTTCCCACTAAGCCATCCTGTTTAGTGTGGTTTCTAATACACTTTATTTCAGGGAAATTCTATTATTTATCTATTTATTTACTTGTTTTAACTGTGTACATTTTTGATTTGTGTGTCTCTGTCCTCACTATCTGCCCACATGCAACTGAAGATGTTAATCTAATGTTTTCCAGCAAATGGAAAATGACTAAAAGCTTTTAACTTTGGCACTAATCTGTTCCATATGGTGGATCTGAGAGTTCAGTTCACTGCCACATGAGAAAACACACGACAAAAACAGACAAAACACAAACCAGAAATTGAAACCATAAACTAATCAAGAGATCTGAAGAATAATTTTCTTTATTTTTATATAAACACATTTTTTAACTTTATTTCTCAGACCATGATTTGCAGCCATGGCTAAAAAGAAGTTCATCATCTATCATTTCTATGGTTAGCAGGATCATACCAGGATGTAATTTTAAAAGTATAGTTCTTTTCAGGTCTAAAACGTAACCCTGGAGAACCCATGGGGTCAGATCCGACCCCATTGGTTTACTAGGGAACCCATGGGGTCAAATTTGACCCCATGGGTTCTCCAGGGTTAAATAACCCTAAGGACATATTAATACATGACATAATACAATGTTATTTAACAAAAAGGACGCCAGAGTGCAGAGGCACTTTGGAATTCTGGCCCACTCTTCTTTACACGCCACAGGATTTCAGTCAGGTTGAGGTCTGGGATTTCTGTTGTAGATTCACTTACTGTTGCATGACCCGGTTTTGGCCAAGCTTTAGCTGTCGGACAGGTGACCTCACATAATTGACTCTAGAGTACTTTGGTATACAAACAAAACAAGCCCAAGTCATCACTCCTCTTCCACCGTGCTTTTTAACAGTTTAAGGTATGATACATTTGAGTTAATCTTATCTTATCGTATTTTCTTTTTGCCAAATGTGGTCCACTTTAGTCTCATCTGTTCAAAGGGCATCATTCAAGAAGTCTTGTGGGTTGCACACATGTAACTTTGCAAACCTAAGCTGTCCGCCATGGTCTTTTAAAAGCAGAGGGCTTCCTCTGGCAAGCCTTCTAAACAAACTTTATATGCGGCATAAAGTTGTTGTCACTTTGGTGATGTCTCCTTGGCATTGAACCAGTTCATACCTGAGTGCTCCAGACCAGAAAACTGTCAAAGCATCTGCTTTTATAGAGGAGCTTAGGAATAATAAGCAAGGACTTACTTCTGCTACATTAAGGCTTACTTTTTGTTAAATAAATAATGATATGGTGTATCATGTTATCTGTTATTGTTCATCTCCAGATGTGCTTACCTCATTTTAAGACCTGCGATGGACAGATTTAATATATTTTGTCCTAATGTGCAAAACCTTAGTACAACACAGGGGTTGTACTGTCATTTTACAATGACTGTGTATACACTCTGTGTTTAAAACACAGTTTTAATTAAAACCTAAAGTGAGGTTAATGATTGGATTTGCATTAAATAGATTACTGGCAAAAGACTACACGATCTACTAAATATGGGCTAACGCGACATCCCTAACCACTTCATAGGGCCAGGATACCCAGTTCCCTAATCTGACAGAACAAACAAAGAGAAAACTTGGTTAATGATCGGTAACTGACTTCACTAACTTCGGGTTTCTTCACTCGCAGCCATTAGAAACAAAGTATGATGACCTAGTTCACACCATTCTCACACAATAGCTTTCATGCAGCCAACAGCCACAGACTTCACTGAAGGCTAATTGATTCTAAATTTGCATGCTGATATGACACCAGTTAAATTACTTCTGACAGAGAAGTCTTTGATAGCGCAGCTATGGCAGTCTCGTGTTTTAACAAGGTCTCTCTTTTTACCACAGAAACAAGTTGACAGGGTGGTTAGAGCAGAGTGATGTCTGGTGAATATGTGGCGGATCACAAACCTGTCCTTTTTTGGTGAGCCTTAGCTTTACTAGCTTAACGAGCCAAAGGCTAAAAACTAATGTGAAAAAACATTTGAGACTGGAGCAGAACATGTAGAACTACTGTGCCTCAGAGGAGGGATAGCTTTATTTATTTATTTGTTCACTTGTAGGTTAACTTCTCTGTACAGGATAATTTATGTTGTTGTTAACTTAAACTGCTTCTATGCCGATGAGCTGCATCTCCGATTGGCCATCTTACTTGTGGAGAATTTGCTCAGATGCAGTGGTCAAACTTCATGAAAGGAAGTATAGAGACTTGCACTTCTGGTTTGATTCCAGGATACGAGCGTGTGTGCCAAATTCTTGGTTTCCATGTTACTGCTTTTCACCTCACGTTAATAACCCCAGTGTCTGAATTTGAATGGTGTTCATGAGAACCTCTGCTTCCTCTGAATAGCCTGTATTTTCCCCCCTATTGATGCTATGGCGTCATGTTCCAGAGAACAGATATCACACAGATAAAAATTAAGCTTCCAGTTTATCAGACCTTGAGTGTAAAATATGCATAAACCATCACAGAATCTCAGGTCAAACATTTTACTTATGCAGATAACTTTGAGTCTTTATGAATGACTGTACTGTTGGTCACTGGGTGATGTTTCCTGGTGTGTCATTTGGAATGTGGTAGTTGTTCTTTTTCCTGCAGGGCTCTAGTTAACAAGCAAAGCAAGCAGCAGTCAGTGAGCTCTCTTTTAAAGTATCTACTGTATGCATTCACCAAATGTATTGCCGTGCAGAATCCTTTATTCTGAAACACAATCAAATGTAACAACTGAAAAAATAATACGTAAAATAATAATATTACACTGTGGTAGCCTGACAGGAGCTTTTTGGGTATATCTGATGGTAGCTTTCTAACTTCTTATCTTTAAACAATAAGAATAACTTGATACCTGAACTTACCTTACCTATAGATACTGTTACAAATATTAACAATGGTGCAGAACTTTAGCTAAGAATGTGTTGCCTCATCTCTGTCTTTTAAATTGCTGCACATATTCTGTTGTTTTAAATAATGCAGTTGCTCTCAAATTTGAGGTCCTTTGTGTGAAAAGTGAAAGGAAAAATAGAATTTTGTAAACAAACTAGAATACATTTTCATGATTTTGTCACTCGTGAAGACTGCCTGGGACTGGGACACATAGTGTGTTGAATATCTCACCGCATAGACAATGTTTTGTGGCTTTAATCATTATTATCCGGTTACTGATGTGGTTTCCATGGAATTCGACTGAGATCTTCAGATAATAGTGACTCATACAGGTGAAGGAATATAAACAGAGGATAATTTTCTCTCCTGTGGGGAGAAGAGGTTAAACCACGTGATACAAGTAATACCCTCTGCTAATATATGTGCATCTACAAGTCATAAATATTCAGTAATAGCAAATTAAATTTTCACCACACCTTGTGGAAAAAACCGCTTTCATATAAATCCAGTTGGAAAAAAACACTCACACACCCTCAGAGTTCTTTGTCCTCAAGATTAGCACAAGGCAGGCCTTATCCCTTGTGTATTTTTCTATTTCTAATATCCATAGTAACACATATTGTATTAACAGGTGTGTCTCATTTCCTAAGGGCTGCAATTATAATAAATCCAATTGGACACAAAACCTCAGTGGTGTTTTAAGTGGTACAGATTTAGGCTGAATTGAACTGGTGTTGGACTCTAACGATGCGTGTAACTTCTGTAAGTTGTTGTAGAAAGCAAGGGAGAGCAGCAGCTTGACCTCTGTTATCTCTTTCTGCAATATACTTATGTCATCACCGCACTGCTCGTGCCCCTGCAAAGACACGGCACATTACATTTTCATTCATCTTGTCATCGAAGTGTTTCTGCAAAGCATATTTACACCTCGGTATTTGCAAAAGAGATGTGATATTTTCTGACATTTGACGGAAGCTTAAACCCCCCCATCTGTACCCAGTGTATGGATTTTCATTTTGACTGAATTCAGTTCTGTGACATTGTATGTGTAGCGGTTGTTAGTAAATCTTTATTTAAAAGTCTCGAAAGTAAATCTGTGTGTTGTAATCTGCGCCCCTGTTTGTACTGCCCATGAAGTAATCCTTGTTCTGACAGTTTCTCAAGTTCAACCAAAGATAAGGCTTCGGTGGGCTAACAACATACGAGTTTTCTTGTGAAATTTCCACTTTATCGTTCAGTATCTTTTTGTTAGAGGAGTAAAGAACACAAAGAGGACACTGCAACATAAGACTAGAGAAAGAAGCGCACGATCCCTCTAGCCCTTTAGCTTGGCCCTACCTTAAGGACTCTAATCTCCAATACTTTAGCAGGGATTTCTTCAGGGCAAGCATGGACTGGACGAAATAAATGTAGGGACTGATTCCTCTTGACATATATGAATAGTGTTCAGAGGCAGGTGTTAACAAAGGTGAACGTGATCTTTTTTGCACTGTTTGGAAGTGTGAAAATGTCTCTTTCTGTAACTATTGCTTGATGAATGTCTCTCATCATTAGTGAACATTGTGTTACCTCAGCAACTGATCCATCCGCTGGTTTTTTTTTTTGTTTTTTTTTTTAATGTTTCTTATTAGGCCTGGGGGCAGGTTTATGTGTTTCTATAGAACAGCAATGTACAGGATGTTTTGGAATAATGGGAAAGTCTGCTGCATACTTACTGAACAGCTTGCAATATGTAGAATTCATATGCATACACGAAAAGACAGTGGTGCTGATTTTTATTTTGTAATTTTGTATGTGATAAATCCATTGCCGTGCCTAAGTATCTGTTATTGGTTTAATTGGTTACGCTCGCCATGATTTAACGTCTCACAAGTGTCGTCTCGTTAGGAGAAAACAGTGAAATAGTGAGTTATGTCTAAATGCTACACTGCCGAGAGAATTCACAATTCATGTACATAATCTGGTTTTTTTGTATTTAAAACTGGTCTGACGCATGCAAGACTACAAAATCACTGAAGCTAAACCTGTGTACATATCATCTGTGTAAATTCCAAGGTTTTCTTATAGCGAACATGCTGAATCTAAAAATAAAGTGAAATTCTTTGGAGCTCAGTCTGTGCTGTCTTCATTGCTTTCCTTTCATTCACTCACCAGTAGAGCACATGTACACTCTCAAGTAATGTTATCTGGGCCAGATTGCATCAGCAGTAATTAATAGGAACCGGTTTCTTCAGATTTGTTGCCCAAGTCTTTGACGTGATTTAACCAAACCTTGATAAAGCTTATTGTTAGGGCTGGATCAGGTGTGTCACTATAAGTTCTGGCTGCTGTGGGACTTGATGTGATGAACTGAGTGACTCTTCTCCACACGCTCTTATCACTCTGCACGTGTTTACAAGTGGAGCATGTGATTAAATTATTTTCTTCTTCCTGCCTTAGCCTGTGTTTTCTCTCTCTCTGCTATCGTTGTATCAGTCTATCTTTTATATCATCTTCTGTTCTCTTTCCTCTCACACACAATCAGTCACACCAGATGCCTTTTAAAAGGATTTTTCATCCTTGTTTGTTCATAAGGGTGTCTACTAATTATTTGGGATTTCTCCCAAGTCTTTAATCTCCAGTGTAAAGCGTCTTGAGTTGACTGTTGGTTGCAGCATATATGTCTCTCCTTTGTCCTGTACCCATAACATCACCCCCGAGTGGCTGTGTATGTATGTATATATATATATATATATATATATATATATATATAAAACTGAATTGACATAGGAGCCAAACGCAGACACTGAAGCTAAATGGAATACCAAATAATCTGATAACCAAATCCAATATTACGTAACAAAAAGGTGGAAAACCCCAAACTACGCACGAAAGGGAAAACAGATGACAGGATATGGACAAAGGGTTGGGAAGGACTATATATACACAGAGGATTGACTGTAGAATGACATTTTCAAAGTACAACAGGAAATAACCAAAAGTTATTTAACTGCAAGTGAAACAGGAACAGTAGACACTACCATAGTAGGAATGGGAAAAATTGCTAAAAAAATAGTTTGGGCTTTGCTTAAAATTAACATGAAGGCAGTATACAACAGGTTGCAAATCATTTATGCGCTCATATTAAATTAACAATGTTAAAAAGACAAAATATCAAGTGTTCAATCTGAGAGATGTTGGTTTGGGAGAAATGTATAAGAATCGGTCAGAGACACACTTGCACTTATGTCAAATTGCTGTTCTTTAACAACATTTTAAGTGATTACGAAAATTAGGTCAGTTGCTATAGTTGTGAAAGCAAAAATGTTTCCCATTCTTCCTTGTTCCTTATCAACTTCTCAGCAGCTGTGGGTTTACTTTGTTATATTTTTCCAGTGCATAATGCACTACGTGTTTCTGAGTAGCACTCCGGTTTCATTCACTATAGAGTCGTGCTGCTGTTGCTGTAGAATCCTCAAAAACAATGTTGTCTGTGTGGCACTACCCATTCCAACATGTGTATATACTTTATTTCATGTTAATGGTGCCTGCATACCTTTATGGAAGCTTTTAAACCATGCATTTATATGTCACATTATATCTTTTTTTCTTTAGCTTGGAAAGCTAACTTTAACTTTTTTTTATTTTTTTTTATTTGTCAAACCACACAGTGGTTTCCTTCTTGCCTCGGTCCCTCTTAAATGAACTCAAGCCTGGCATTGGCGCCAGTGTTGCTAGACCTTTTCTTTCTTTGCATGACAGTGGCTTGCGTTTGAGGATCAAATGCAGTTACAGTGTTCCAGGACTGTTTCTGAGTCAATATGCTAGTCTTTAAATGATAATATAAACCAGAAATTATTTTATGGCCTTAAATATTATTTATGCCCACAGTCACATTGCAGTGTAACAGGGGTTTAAATTACTGCATTCTGCTTTAAGTAAGATTTTTCTGCAGCATCCTGATGTTTTTAAGTTTTGAAGCTGTGCTGTTTATTGGAAATAATGCGTGGAAATGTAATTCCACACAAACACAGACACTTTGGGACATAGATTTGTACTTTTGAACTTTGTACTGCAAAGAAACGTTAGGTCCTTTTATCTAGAATTTAGTACGATTTTTTTTACAGTTGAAACACAGGCACATACATGCAGAAACTAATGTGTTACTGCATGTGTTTTTCCCTGGAAAACAGGGTTGAATTTGGCAGGAATTCCCGATACGCTAGCTCCCAGTATTCAACAATAAGCCTGTCACTGTATAGAGTCCCTTTTGAGTCTTAATTTTGTTTTTCTTTGGCCGTTTCATTTTCTTTTATAGTTGAACATTTGTTACAGGAAATCTTCTCTCAACTACAGAACCTCAAAATGTTTGAAAATTGAATAAATTTCACCAAAAAATAGAGATAATAGATAAAATATCAAGTTTAATATTGAATTATATATATTTGAACAGCAATTTGGTAAATAACTGAAGAAATGATTCAAACTTTGTTTTTTCTGCACATTTCTTGTTTAAATGAATTACATATGTCATACCTCTCTTAAAGGGCATTGTCAGTACCATGTAAACGTGTATGGGCTGATTGTGGAAGCCACTAAGTATGCAGGGATAATAAAGGCAGGAGGTATGCTGACAGCTTTCTGAGGGCCAAACCTGTGAGGGTACTTATGGTATTATATTGCTATTCATAGAGTCTTCACATTTTAGGTATTGGCACAGACACATCTTGTTTCTGAAGAGCAGGTCTTTAATTTTAATGTCATGGAAGACCAAGGACTGAGGAAACTGAGGAAACCGAAGAAATCCACCATGGTGGTCTTCCTTGGTTGCCCTACCTTTCAGTATTTCTTTTGCTTTCAATGGCACATGATGAAAAATGGCAGCTCCAGACTCAAAAGGTGATCGAAAGCTAAATACAAATACAAGCAAAAACATGCAACTCTTTAATATATTTAACACTTTCATTTGAGTGGTTACTTTATAATATCTGGTAACATTTTATAAAAATAAACAAAATACTGCTCTATGGACAATTTTTTTAACTCCAGGTTTACAAGCTGCTACATTGGTCACTTTAAACCACTCCAAACTGTAAACTGTAAATTGCAAATTCTAATCGCAACTTCTCTTGATCCTCTATGACTTAAGTGGATATTTTTCTTACTCCTTTTTATAACTATTTATTAGCTTTTTTGCCCTGATGTAACCAGAGCTTTGTCGTCTTGTCTGTTTGTATGCTGCACTGGATATAGCAGAGATGACAATAAAGTTTACATTGACTTTGACTTTGAAAATAGCACAACAGGATGGAGACCTAAATGAAGGACTCAGGAGACTGAAACATAAACTCGAAATGAAGCTTTAATGTAGGACTCTCTCTCTCTCAAAAAAAAAAAAGAAAATACAAAAATCCCCCAAAGATTAGGTGGGAAGGAGCAAGGAAACCAAATGGAATCTTCAAGGAAACATAGATGAAGGGGACACACAACAATGAGGGTCTAGACAACAAAGGATAAAGAAAGGCTCTGACAATATGTACACAAGCCAGGTAACAACACATGTCTTCATCAGACATCTGACACCTTTTGATATAATATAAGCCCATTAAAAACAAACAAAAAACAAACAAACAAAACTTTGGAATATTCTATAGAAAAGGATAAACAGTGTTTCCACAGCCATCAATGTAATTATGCAATATCTTGATGCATGCTCAATCATCCAGGTAAGTAAATCCCAAAAGGTTGATTCTGTTCATCTGGACGTTGTGTTTTCAGCGAGTGAAACGTTTCGTCATTTCTTCAGTCTCATCTGCCTGCAGGTTTGACTCTTATCATCCACTGGAGCATAAACTGGGTGTCATCAGGACGCTACAACACAGAGCGAACACCATCCCCACAGACACAGCGGCCAGGGAGGCAGGCATCAAAAAGGCCCTGAGTAAATGTGATTATCCCAGCTGGACATTTGTCAAAGCTGGGAAGTTGCCTAAAGAAAGCTCCAGCAGATCCAGAAGAGAAGGACAACTGCTGCCAAAGCGAAAACCCTTAGTGTCAGGAGTATCGGAACAGTTGAGATGCATTTTTTCTAAACACCATGTCTCCTGCAGTCTATTTACACCTACAGGCCAGTGGACACTCTTTCAATGATGAGGATGTACACATCCTGGACAGGGAGGAACGCTGTTTTGAGCGCGGAGTCAAGGAGGCCATTTACGTGAAAAGGGAAAGAGCATCTCTGAATCTAGGAGGGGCCCTAAGGGCACATCCTTTGCCATCTTACAATGCTGTGATTGCAGCTATTCCCCAACTCTCTGCGAATGGTACTCATGGCCATTGATCAAAATCCCTTGATCAGTGGTTGTTGATCAGTGGTCATGACAATTTGCATATTAATTATCAAGAAACTGACCTCACAGCTCATTGTTCATTCAGTGTGCTAGTTTCAGTTATCGTGCAAATGTTTTTATAAGGTAGGGGAAATCTTCAGTCAGCTGAGAATGAAGAAGTCACTTGGATGAGTGACGAAATGTTTCTTGCACTGAAAATGCTACGTTCAGATGAACAGAATCAACCTTTTGGTAATTATGCAATACTTTAAGGCCTATGGGCCATACTGAAGGTTGTCCAACACTCAGAAGGTTGATAGATGGATCTCCCAGTGGGTGGATGTGTCAGATTATCCTTGGGCAATATACTAAACCCTGAGCTGCCCCTGACGCATCCATCATAGCGTGAATGTGCATGAGAACGTTAGATAAGACCAAGACCTTTGGCCTAGTAAGTAAGCGTAAACACACTGGGGCATAGGGTATTATGAGGTAAGAAAGCTGGGACAGAACCCTTGAAGGATCCTAGGCTAAATCAGGACTGATGTGATTATACTGTCTTCCAGGCATTGGACAAAAACCTGGCAGCGGTGTTGAATTGTTTTTGGTTCAGGTAGGTGAAAATGTTGTTAGAGTAAACAAGGTGTGGTGATTCAAAACTATTTCTATGTCTTTGAAAGAGAAACTATTAGTATTTTTTGAGAATTCGCTAAGATCATAAAAAAATGATTGCACAAACTTTGCTGTTGATTAGCAGAGTTTGTTTTACCATTTGCACAAGGGACGTTCAGTGGTAGAAAATGACATGACACCCAGAGAAGGTAGCATTAAAATTGAAAAAGACACCATGACTGTGAATAATACTTTTAATGTAGAGCGTGTATAAGGAAATAAAATTGGCACCAGATCCTTGGGGATATGTAAGAGATTCAAATGTGGATAAATAGTAGTGCTCTGTTATCAGATGTGTTAACGTCTGAGCTATAGGCTATATTGCACATTTTTAGTTCAGGTCCTGGATTTCTGAAGCGATCAACATGTTCAAATATAAATCATGATTTATGGTAAATGAGTGTTTTTAAATAGGGTATGTTCCCTTTTTGTCATGAGCCTGGGTCTTTTGACCCAGCGTTTTGAGTTTTAATTTATTTTAATGTTTATATTGTATGTTTAAGTTCATTAGGTTGGCGAAGGTTATTTGTTTATTAGATCCCCTTTGTGTTTTCTACCACTGTATTTAAGTTTCCCTCTCCCTTCATGTGTTTCGTGCCTAGTGTCTTTTGTTGTCAAGTTTGTGTTGTCATGTCTGTGTCTCATGTTTCCTGTTTTATTTTGAAGGTCTATGTCCTATGTCAGTATAGTCAGCTTGTTATGTCAGGTTAGTGTCAGCTGTTTCCCCATGTGTTTCCACTTCCCCTCATCACCCTTGTGTGTATTCTGTTCATTCGTTGTCAGGTCGTCTGTTGTTCCATGCCACCTTTCCAGGGCCTTTCCATGTTCAAGGTTTTGTTCTTTGTTCAGTAGTTAATTTTCCCAGTTTAGTTCTATTTAGGTTCTTTCCTGTGTGCCTCTATGTTTTATGTTTGTACTTTTAGTTTTTTTTTTTTTTTTTAAATCAGCCATATTAAATGGCTCGCTTTTTGTGAATATTCACGTTTTCTTCCTCGTTCTCTGTGTCTGCATTTTTGGTCCTCTACGTCACTCCATACAGTCTGCCTCCACCAGACCGTGACACTTTTAGAGTTTCTATCATCACACCTATGGGAAAAATACCACCCTCTCCATAAAACAAACAAAACAAATACCACCCCCCCACCCGATGTTCATATACCTGCATATGGACATCAAGTCAAATGATTTGTGTTAAAATAGTTGGCCACATGCAGTGATGCCAATTATTTTGAAGTTGAGTAGAATTTGTTGTAATGTTCTAACATGACAGATACCAATAAATGAAAATGGGTGAGGTGCTTTTAGGCAGTTCTTTACACTTGCCAAGTTGGGAAATAACGCAATACCTTGTCTTCTGTCAAGTCTTTACCTTCAGGCATTTTTCCACTTCAAGGCAATTTCCCTGCAATAAACAGCAAATAAATAGTTCATGTATACAAATAAAAAACTTGTGAGATTGAATCCCTTCTGAAAGATGCAGTACGGCCTCAGATGCATGGCGTGGATCTCATGGTTGTGAAGAATTTGGACCCAAAATGCAGACTCCAGACAGGTTTAAATGAGCAAAAACCAAGCCTTTATTTACACGAGGCCGCAAGTCTAGTCGGTGAAAGAAACTAGGAAACATATAAGGGGCCCACTCTAACAGACAAGCAGTACATAATAACGAACAAGGAAAACCGAGGGCTTAAATACACATGATGTAATCAGGGAACGAGACACAGCTGCTGAAAACAAGGCGCAGGTGAACAAAATCAATTGACGATCAAGAGGGGAAGCAGAAATGAACATAATGCACATGAGATGAGAGACTCAAAATAAAACAGGAAGCCAAAACAATGAGACGGAGACTAAGACACAAACTTGACAGACCAAAGTAAACACAAAGACAAAACTGACTAAACATGGGTGACATAACAGAAGCACAGACTAGGCACAGGGAAGTGAAAACTACAACAAAATCAATGAAGAGAAGGCAATGTGAATAAATCCACAAATTTACATGAAAAAAACAAGGAACTGTATCACAATAGTAGTGTTTCACTACTATTGTAGTATTAAAGAAGTTTCTTTACAGTACGCAGTAACTTCAAGACCCAGTTTATCTGTTATGTCACAGTGTAATTTGGTGGTTTACTTGCTAATGCTCCCACTCATCTGTGTATATACATTGTGCTCATCTGACAGCAGTATGAAAAGAGGAAGATCACAGACAAGATTCATGGATGTAGTGAAAGAGAACATGCAGTTTGGGTTGCTACCCAAACTACTGTGGCTGCTGATGATGTACGAGGTCTTGCTTAATCATGCTTAATCATGCAAACTGACTGGAGAGGCTGAGGTCTACATGAGGAAGTGCCTTGTACTTTCGAAATGCCTTAACAGCCTTAAACTCTACAGCGACGGGATGCTGTCATTGCCCATCCCTGGCCTGGTAGAAGAGTTTAAATGTGCAAAAGTGAGGCTGGAGACGTCACTCGTGGACTCCTGAAAGCCCATAGTGGGAGGTGGTGCTCCCAACCAGCAACAGGGAGAAAGTGGATCCCAGTCACAGCTACAGGCCGAATCTGCTCTTCTCCATCATGATGTGGTGGGTCACGTCCAACAGGGCAGAGGAGGATTTTATCTTGGAGCAGTAACACATCTCTGGCAACAGGCATCTGTAACTGAACAATGAGCAATGGTGCGTTGACGGGAGGAAGGAGCCAGACGTGCTGGGCAAGCAGGGTCGCCGGATGAATTGGGAGTGTGTTGAAAAGAGAAAACTCACATGGAGTGAAATCTGGGGATGGAGTCTAATAGGCAGGAATAAGACATTCCTCAAAGTAACCAAGCCTCAAGACTTTCTGCACTAGAAACAATGCAATATCAGGGATTTGTAACATCTAGTTGTTTTATTGAATGAGATTGTGGGACAGAAAACTGTTTAAGATGTAGGGAAATAAATATAAGTATGTATAATGTATGCCATTTGGCAAGCACTGCTGGCCATGCATTCACTGTCAAAATGTTAATTTTGTTGTTTAAGCTAAACATAGAAGTTTGGTAATGGCAATGACAGGAGCATTAATCAAATGACTTTCTTATAAATTTCTTCTTGGTTATACTATTTTCTGTTAACCCCCCATCTCTGTCTCTCTCTCTCTCACACACACACACACACACACACACACACACACACACACACGTAAAGAACCCAACCCCAAACTGTGTGCCATCTTGTAAATTCCATACAGGTACTTTTGACTGCTTCTTTAATTGTCACTGGTCATGAGCCACATGTTTTAAAGTGGTATAGATTTTACTTCCACCCCCTTCTTGAGCCAACCCCCCCTCCCCCAAACCCTTCCATTTTCCCAGCAGTATTACGCTTGCTTGGCTACTGTTACCTCCCAAAAATTGAAAATATAGAATAAAACAAACAAATAAACAAAATAGAAACCAATGGTCCAAAAACAAAAGATGTTTATGATTAAATACTATTAAAAGTTCACTGTATTATTATTATTATTATTATTAGTGTTTAGTTTGTAACTTTAGAATTTTACTAATTTAAAAAAACACATTAAATACTAAATATCACCACAATAAGACCACTTGTACAAAATAGTATTTTGTACAAAAAAAACAAAACAAAAAAACAAAAACTTGGTGAGGTGATCAGGATAAGTAATTTTTGTGGGGGGGAAAACCTCTATGTATGTTATGTCTTTCTTTCTTTTCTGTATTGCGCTTTGTAGACGGTCCCTGCACACTCGTCTCACATCCAAGTGCTCACAGAGACCAGTCATTGTTAGCCCAGGTTGGAAAAGGATTCGCTTTAATTAAAATAAACTTTGACATGTAAAGTGAAGCCATACGGATCCTTAGGTTTTATTCTCTCCCCCCTTCCTGCCGCGCGTAATGAGTACCTTTTAATCTCTATCAAAATGTTACATACAGGTTCAATCTAATCGTTTTACAGACTCCTCCCTATCTGTGTTTACTTTGCACTTCCACTGAAGAGAATCTTCATTTTGATATTATTACTTACAGTAATCAGCCGCTGTTTATTATTCAATTGTTTCCTCACTTGTAGTCTTAAACTTTCCTAATCGGGGAGGCTACAAATGCATCAGTCCACCCACGCCGTGCCAGTCTGCTGTGCTCTGCCCGAACCTGCTGCAGCAGGAAAACAGCGCTCTTAGCCAACGATCACGTAAGTATTAATCTGGACATTTGTGTTTATTTTACTTTTATTCACGACATTTAAAAAAATTAATTAAATCATTTATGAAGTGAGATCACTTATCAGAATTCTTTTTGTATTTTTTTTTATCCTAATTAATTTTTATTTTCTTTAGTCTTGAATATACACTCGATAAACTACTGATGGCGAGAAAATGCAGGCTGACTTACACAGCAACACTGATGCTGCTTTTAATAACCTGGAAGGAGAGCACGTATTGCAATGGGCTTACAGGTTGGTCCCAGACGTTTTTCATGTACTTAGACTTTGCTTGATAGAAATGACACAAACGGAAGCTTCTCCTTTAATATGAAATGTTTTTAAATATGGCCCTCTGCCACTGGAGTTCTGAGGAAAGAGCCTATCCTGCAATATGATGCAGAAGGAGATTTATTTTTACATTTGGCAGCAGTTTGTTGAGATATTCCACTGGATACTGTTGATATAAAAGAAGCTTTTTTTTTTTTCCATAAACACAAACTCTACAAATATTTGTTTCCTTTACAGTGAGTCCTCCGAAGAACCTTGTAATAACAGACCCGGGGCATCTTGGACAACTGGAGATTACATGGAATCCCCCAGACAGCTTGCCTAACGTGACAGAGTGCTCAGTACGATATCAGCTGGAGTACAACACCTACCGGGAGAGCTGGGCTGTAAGTGCTTAGTCTTTTTATCAGATCTTACACTGAAGCGCATAACCTGCCTGAACTCCTCCCAGAATGATTTTCTCAAGAACATGACCTGCTCTGGTAATGGGCCAATTAATAGCCGTAATTACAAGCAATAAAATGTTTACTTGAAATGATATCTTAAGTGACTTTACAGTATAAAAGCACCTCAGCAGGACTGTAACTCTGCAGAGATCACAAACATACAGCCTCTTAAAGCTGCTTCATCATGATGGGATTCGTGTCTCTGTAATTTTAAACCCAAATTTGTGGGGATTTTCTAATTGCACTTCCACGTATTTATGCCCAAGCATCTATGTCTAAACAAGATAAAAACAGAACATATTCTTGATACTTTTTCCAATTAATGTGGGTGAGGCAATGCTGTTAGTTATGTCTCAGTAACAATTAGTATGACGCACTGATCATTATCTTACAATGAGTGAAAGAACGAGCTTATCGGCGCCTATGATAACTGTGCCTGATAATGAGACGTGTCTAGACAACTATGCAAAGCTCTTTTATATCCTTTAAACGGCTCAAGTAAAATATGAAACAGCAGATATAATGTGACTTACTAAAAATTGATGCATAAGTTGTGTTTTTGTTGTTGTTGTTGTTTTGTTTTTGTTTTTTTACACAAGCCTCAGTAATACGGTAAAAGTTTTGTGGGAGAAAACTGTCTACACATCTTTGTTAAATGAAATAAGAAAAAACTCAGTAGATCAGGAAACTTTGGCATGTAGTAACTCATTTGTGCTTTTGCAGAGCATCAGGACAAGTAAAAGGACCTACACCGCTCAGTTTGACCTGATGAAAGATGTTAGAGTGAGAATCTACACCTTGCTGAGTGGGACCTGCACCAACGATACTATGATCAAGAGCACAGACTACACTGAAGTCATCCAGAAATCTCCCAGCACAGGTCAGCCTTCCAAGGCTTATAAGATTTGTGATTACAGAAAAGGAGTATTAGTAAGATCATAGCTAATTTGATTCTTTTCTTTCTTCATGTTTAGGTGTTTTGGGTACTGAAGTCCTGGATTTTAAATGTGTATTCCACAACATGGAGTACACAGAGTGCCAGTGGAGAAGAAGTGAAAAGATACCAGACAACTCCCTGCAAAAGCTATATTTCTGGTATGTCTGCCATGTCAGAGCTTTGTTGGCTCGTGTTGTGGTCCATAACAAAATATTCCACTATCATTTGGAACGGCTAATGACATAATCAGCTTGTTTAATTTTTCCTGAGACAAATCTGTCCACTTTCTCTAATATTTGATGAGATTTCTATTCACCAGTTAACAAGATATGAAAAAGGGCAGTACATCAAAAAAATGGTGTAATAACTAAAGTGATTGTAAAACCTGCTTCTTTTCATAATGTGTGCTGTTTTCATCAATGTTTAATTGTTAATGAGGCTTACATTCATAAAAGAACACCACAAAACAAAGAACAGCTCCAGTTAATTTCCTCCGGAGAATAAAAGGAGAAAACAATCCAGTTGTCTTCTTCCACTGATGAGCGGAAGAAAACTGGGCAACACTTTTATGTGCATAGTGTTTAATGAGAATAAATCTTGTTAAGGCACATACCCACGCAATTATCTGGAAACTGCAGCGAAAACATTTAAGATCACTTCACGCTGAAATGCATCTTTTACTTTTCTTAGTGGGAAGGATTTCCTCAGTACTGAGTTACTCATGTCTTTTGCTGATTAAGATTTGATGTTGTCACATTATGTAAAGCAGGATGTGGATACAGAAGCTTATCTGATCTGTTTGTTCTGCAGGCACAAAGAACTTGGACAGGCTGAGGAATGCCCAAAGTACAAGACATCAGGCGGTGTCACGATAGGGTGCACATTTGCAGATGTACCGCTTCCTGTATTCACTGATATCAACTTCTGTTTAAATGGAAGCTCTCCTGAGGGGCCACTAAAACCAACGTTTGCCTCCCTGCAAATCCAGAACCATGGTAAATACATTTCCTGCTCCAGTTTTGACTCACTGCTTGCTCAACTTTGATTTGACCGAGATCCGCAACATCTGTAATACCTCCTTGCATGCTATCACAATTGCTGATTTTGTTTTCCTGTGTTCTTGATGCATTTATGCAGTGAAGTGTGCAGCCACAAAAAAACTGCATCTGCAAACAGGTCCTGACAAGTTTGAACTACACTGGGAACATCCAGATGGAAAGGTTCCTGGCCACTGTCTAGAATATGAGGTGGAACACACTCAAGAAGGACCTGATGGAAAAAAACCATCGGTATGGTTTATACAACATGTGCTTTGTTATTAATATTATTTTTAACTCTAAGGCAAATCTGTATCACAAGAGCATTTTCCCTTCCACCTTGCTGTGCAAAGAGTCTTTAGATTTGGTTTGAGTGGGTTTGTGGGGATGTAAAAGTGGGGAACGCATTGCATAAAAACAAGTAAACACAGGATTTGAGATTGTAAACATTCAGGGAAGAGCTTTATGTCTCAAACTGCAAAAAATCCACCTTAAAAATTCACGTTCTCACTTTGTCTTTATTTCTAGAAATGCTCCAATCATTTCTGTGCAAAAGCTTAATTGCATTAATATTTATTTAGATTTGAGTCTTCTTTAACTGAAAAAATGAATCAAGTCATAAGTCATTCATGGTGTTTGCCACTGCTATCAGCTGTCTGTAGCTATTAGCACATTCCTGATGTTTTGAATGACTTGACAGGTCATGGTACTTCATTCCCACTCACCTGAATCTAAATGGTGTCACACTTGACTTTAACACAATAATAGAGCAAAACCACTAAAATACCTCAAGATCACTGGTATTAACACAGCAACCTAGACAAAACATAAAGGTGGGAGAACATTTTATTTCTGACATTTTTCCTTTGTTGTACATCCAGACATTCCACTTTACACCTGTATAAAAAAAAATTAACTAACTTGTTTGTTTTAGCTGTGCACGCTTTATTAAACATGCAAACTTTTTCATTCATCAAATATCTTTTTATTGAAAGGAATGCCTTAACATTACTTCAGGCACTGTGGCTTTGGGCAGCTAATAACAAAGCTGCTAACAATTTGACTTTGTGGTTTTATAGACCTTTAAAAAGTGGAAACTATTAGAGTCTGTGGTTTTGCTTTGCTATGCAATTATTTTTTTTAATCCCACAGTAAAAGGTCAAGAAAAAAATGATGGATGTGTTTTAAAGTAAATAGAACAATAAAAAAATAAGTAAAAACTCAAATTTTAAAACAAATCCTCATGACCATCACTGAGTGGAGATTAATGAGGTTACAAAGGGAATTTAAGTGTACCATGAAGTACAAAATAAAATAGGGTTACGAGTCTTTGAGACGCAGCTGAAAGCTGTCTGCTTGACAAAGCAGTGTAGCCTTAATTGGTCAGATGCCCAGTGCTTAAGCTTGGGTATGAGCCCAGAACTCTGCATTAAAGACCCAGTACTTACAAGAAGTGTAAATCTGGTTTTCCAGATCAAAAACAGCTGCTTAACACTGTTAGACAGCAAAGTGGTGAGTGAGTTAAACTGTCATAAAACCGAAATGAAGATGACGAAACTCATCAAAACTTAAGTACTTTTTGGGTCTGTTAACTCTGTTGTTGTAGTAATTATTTACTTTATCTTTTTCATTGACAGACAAAATCTCTGCCAGGAGGGCGGACAAGCCTGAGTTTGTCCATCGACATCAACAAGACCCACTGCTTCAGGGTTCGGTCTAAGGTGCATAAGTACTGTGCGAGCACGAGCTACTGGAGTGACTGGAGCCATCCAGTATGCCAACCAGGTAAGAATGTTTCGCACAAAAACGTCTTATTTTTTGGCTCTCTGGAGTACTGGATGTTTTCAGGTTTTCATTTAAAAACCATATAATTTCTTCTTTTGACACAAAAAAGCCATTCTTTTTTTTGATGAGTTTGTAACTGATATTGGGAAGTGGCACTCTTGGTTTCCTAGGGCAGTAGGAATATTTATCAAAATACAATCAACTAATCAAAATACAAAAAGCCCGCCCCCCCCATTAAACATAACAAAAGCCAAAAGCTTGGAACTGCCTGTTTTGGAAAAAATAAAGACATTTATACTAAAAAACAGAAGATTAGGCGCCAGTTTGGCTCGGTGCTTTGAGCAGTCGGCCACATGCCACACGGCTGACAGCGGCCAGTCCGGGTTCGGGTCAGACCCACGGCCCTTTGCAGCGTGTCTTTCCCCTTCTCTCTCTGCCCCTCCTTTCCTGTCCTTTCTTCACCGAGTCTTTGAAATACAACTGAAAAAGGCCAATATTTTCCTGTTTACTAGCAAAATATTGCAAAGGGAATATCAGAAACAGCTAAGCTCTCTCTTGACTTTTGTGAAATATTAATCAAAGCTGCTTTTAACTAGAAGAGGGACCGTGTATAAAAATAGCAAATAAAGTACAGTACAGTATGTAAAATCATGGATTTCTACTGAATCTAGAAGGTTAAGGTCTGTACTTTGCATAAGGTGGCACATATGTTAATTTTGAGTGCTATATTTAGAATAAAACACGATGTGATATACTTTCATCTATGATAGAAGACAGTTTTCTTATCTTGTCTCTGTTATAAACTTCGGTACCCAAAGCACTTTCTTGCTACAAGCCCCTAAACAAACGTTTACACTCCAACAACTGCACCAGGGGTGTTTTGGGGTCCAGTGTCTTGCCCAGGAAGACTTTAACATGCGAACTAGGAGAGCCCGTCATTGAACCACTAACCTACTAAAAAGAAGACACACTCTACTTCCTGAGCCACAGCTACTACATGATGTTGGATAACACAAAGTGATTAGTTGACCGATTCAGCATTAAGGCTTTAAATTCCTGAGTGTTACTTTTCATCTCATATTCCTAAGCGATCTGTTCAAAGTGTGTTTCCTGTAAGTAAAGGATTTACAAACTAAACTGTAAAGCATTTCTTTTGTTAGCAACAAGTCCTGCTAAACCCTCATAGTAGTCTCGTTGATTTCAAGCTGGAAGATCCTGACGCCACCAAGAAATAGTAAGTTTTAAGATTATCTCATTCAAGCATGCAGTACGCTTCAATTTATGTCAATACAACCAATGTAGCGAAATATGCATAACAATGTTCTGATTTCTTCTTTTTCTTGCTTTTTGTAGCCACCGATGTTGCCACGATTGGAAAGTCCCCTGAAGGAAAAGCTGAAGGATCATTTTCATCCAGGCTCGGCACAATATTTTATAACATGTTGGACAAATTAATGTTGCAAAAGTATTAATCCAATGTCCAAAATCCAAAACACAAAAAAGAACATCTCCAGTCTAATCCAATGAAAGACGGAATATTAGAATTTATGTAGATTGTTGTGTTAATTTTCTGTGTAATTCTTTTTTCTTTCTGTTGTGAATGTAATGATTGATATCTCAACATAGCAACAGGTTGTAAATAAAATGCATCTTGTAAGATGTAACATTTTTCTACATCTGAAAGGCACTTTAAGGCCAGAGCGGTGGTGTACAATGTGGAGGATCAGTTGTGTCCCAAACTTTTTAATTGTGGCCTCTATAAAGTAAATAGTCGCTGAACCATGCCATAAAACGGACCTTCCCTTGTCCTGTTTTAAATCATTTCAACTGCTACTTAGAAACATTTGTTCAGACTATGATTGTAAGCATTAGTATGCAGGATACAATTGTATTTTTGGCCTATGAAGTTTCACAGAATAAAATTTTTTATTGGTGTGCTCGTATGAGTCTTTCATTGAGATCCAGTTGGTTGGTTTAGACCAGGGGTGGGCAACTCCAGGCCTCGAGGGTCCTGCAGGTTTTAGATATCACCCTGGGTCAACACACCTGAGTCAAATGATGAGTTCATTACCAGGCAAGACATGTTGAGGACATCATTTAACCATTTAATAAGGCCTGGAGTTGGTTTAGACAAAGACATCAGACTTTCTAGTATAGTGCTATTACTACTACTCTCATTGTACTACTACAACAACTTCTGATAATTATGCTTTTCAACAGAAAAGTCCATTTATTTCCCGCTAATCCAGTCACGGGTAGGCAGGAGGTGGGGCTAAAGCCTATCCCAACTCTCATAGTCCACCAGTCCATTACAGCAAGCAACAAGAAATTTAAAATTTGGACAATGCATGGAGAACGTGTTCTGTCTGCAAACCGTGCAAATACAGATCTTATATATTGGACAGTTTGTTTGTGCTGATTCGTAGTTATACAGATTTCAGTTGACCTCACTTTATAGCGTTTTGTTGATGTGTTTCATCGAAGATGAGCAGCTGTTCTCCAACCTGATTTTACTTTTGTGTGCTTATTATAGAGCAGAAAGACGTGACACCTGAACCAGATGCCATATGGGATGCCATACCTGTCTACATTTACATCGCTGTTGCCATTATTGCACTGCTAGTGCTGTCTCTGTGTGCGTGGGCAATGTTCAAACTGTAAGTATATTCACACCCATTACAAAATGTGCCAACATGCAGATAAAAAGCAAACAGAGCACTAAGCTGTCCTTTGGATCTCAGGAAGAAACCAGTGCAAGAGAAAAAAGTGGAGTCTCTGCTTACATCCCTGTTTGCCAGGCGTCCCCTTCTTGGTCCCACACAAGCCTAAAAAGGCAAGAAAAGCTGTACCTTCCTCCGACGCAAAGAGGACCTCATATAAATATTTTACTGTTGCACTCCTCCTCAGTCATTGTTTAGGTTCTGTAGTTTCAAAAGGCACAATGAAGCACTCAAAGATGGCATAGCATGCAGACAGTGAGATTGTAATCACATGTTTCAGAAGATATTACATTTAGACTGAAGGTCATAGTTTGTCTGTGTTTGTATTATATCATATAACTACATATTATTCCAATATACTATATTTTTTGTATTTTTGTGTATACCTTTCTATATAAATGTTTGAACTGGCCTGTTAACTGGACTGCTTCACTGTACCAGAAAGTATCCTATCGTTGTTTACTTTTTAGCTATGACACTTGCCTATTTGTTAAGGGAGGAGAACTTACTTTGGGATTACGTTTTTTAAATATGTTTTTTTACTACTTATGATTTCTTATCTGGTTCATTTCGCATGGATTTGTATTGATGTTGTGGAGAAATAACGTTTTTAGTGAAATCTGTTTGTTGTTTACCTCATGCCTCAATTCTTGCCAGTCAGCTCACACAATAAAGACTGTTTTTGTTTTTGTGTAAAGTGTAAAATATGTGTTTCATAAATGTTAAATGGATTTCAACAAAGTTATTACTAAATACTTGGAGTCAAGGAACTTTGCTGACACCTATGGATGAATTAAATGGAGAAATTGAACCAGTTAGTTGTTTCAAATGCCACATGTCTTTGCCAGTTTTAATCCCCCCCCGTTTTTGGAGGCTTGAACTTTATCCAAACTAACCTGCCAAACAATGTTACATCTATTTCTGTGCAACCCTTGCCAAACACCATTTATTGTATTAAATCATAGAGTTGATCCAATTTTTATGACATTGAAAGTGCTTTTTGGCTGCCATCCATTTAGTCCAAATAAATAATGAATGTTTAAATTTTTAAATTAATGGATCACATATATCTTTTTGATTTCTGATCCTGTTGGGGTTGGTGGGTTTTAGAAAGCAATAGAACATATACTATAAAATTAGGCTATCAAGTTGGTGTTGAGTGTTATTCTTACCAGCTTTTATATGTTAAAGCATATTTTATGGAATAATAGTGCTTGTAATGAATGTATTTTATGCTCTTATTTGGGTTTGATGTATTTCATTATGTGCTTAATTCTAATTAAAATAAAGAATAATGTTCAAGGTCTCTTCTTTACATCTTCGCATTAAAAAAATATAAACTAAAAAAAGAGAAAAGGGATTTTCTGTTTTAACAGAATGTAAGTTTGTAGGAAGCAAACACATACTCCATTTTTTTTTTTTCATTGGCAAAGATTACTGGGGCGCACTGGAGAACGCTTTGTTCACTCCAGATCGCAAATAAGTGTGAGACGTGGTTTTGCAGAGAAGATACATAGTTTATTAATGAATACTGAGTGAGTATAGTAACGCAGCCAACGAGTTATGAGTTATTCAGGACAAGGGTGAGGCTTCAGCTGAAACTGATAACATCAGCTCAACTTTCTGAACCTCATTCAACTTATCATGGGCCTCCCAGCAACGCCAAAGAACAAACAAGCATTCAGGTAGAACAATAAAATACTGTATGAACATTAATGCCCTAAATGGGGCAGGGATAGCTCAGTAGGTAAAGTGGTTGCCCCATGATCGGAAGGTCGGCGGTTCGAATCCACTTAACGGCTACCCTGAGGTACCCCTGAGCAAGGTACCGTCCCTACACACTGCTCCCCGGGCGCCTGCTTAGTGGGCTGCCCACTGCTTCACTGAGTGAATGGGTCAAATGCAGAGAAAAACAAGTAATTTCCCCATGGGGATCAATAAAGTATCCATTATTATTATTATTATTATTATTAAAATGTCTGAGATTCACTAAAAATACAGATAACCTTGTCTTTCCATCATCTGTGTCATCATGCATTCTTGGATAGTCATTCATTCATTCATTTTTTAACTGCTTATCATGGGGGATAGATGGTGGTGGTGGTAATCCAACAGAAATAATGATAATAATCAATGTCGCATGTTTTGTACATGCTTGTGCAGTGTACTCTGTAAGCCAACCTCAGCAAAGTCAACAACATACCACTCTTGTAATATAAATTATGAATATCTTAATTTTTTCATCATGTATCCATCACAGTTGTATCTGGAAAACAAAATAGGATTTGGGCAATAGGATGTAAGGTGGGTAAAATCTCCTGAGGGACCTGACGGAAAAGAATCATCGGAATGGTTTATACAACACATACCTTGTTATTTTTGTTTTAAACACTAAGGCAAATCTGTACCAGAAGAGCATTTTCCCCCAGCAAGCTTGCTGTGCAAAGAGTCTTTAGATTTGGTTTTGAGTGGGTTTGTGTGGATGTAACAGTGGGAAAAGCACTGTAGAAAAATAAATAACCACACACTTCTAACTTTACCTCTATTTCTAGAAATGCTCTAATCATTTCTGTGCAAAAGGTATTTATTTGGATTTGATTGTTTTTTAACTTGAAATATTAATTTCAAGTCATAACTCATTCACTGTGCTTGTCAGTACTGTCATCTGTCTGTAGCTATTAGGACATTCCTGATGTTCTGAATGACTTGGCTGGTCGTGGTACTTCATTCCCACTCAGCTGAATCTGATTGATGTGTTAAAGTCAAGCAGGACACCAAATAGAGCAAAACCACTAAAATACCTCAAGATCATTGACGTGGCAACCTACACAAAACATAAAGGCGGGGGAATATTTTATTTCTGACATTTTACTTCCAGATGCTCCTCGTTACAGCTGTATAAAAAAATAAACTAACTTGTTTGTTTTAGCTGTGCATGCACATAAAGTGCGTATACATAAAGCATATGTTTATGCATGAGGACTGCCCGGCCTGCTCAGACTGCCTATACTCCCCCAGCTCCCACATTGTGTTTTGATCTTTTGTTTGTTTTCATTTTCCTGTTTGTTCGTGCTCCAATCTGATTTAATTTTATTTTTTTACCCATCCAAACAAAAAAAGGGCCTGGAGCCTATCCCAGCTGGGAAAGGGACTGGTCTACTGGAAGCTTTTGTTTAGTTAACAGAAATTATGATAGTGATCATGATGACTGAAAATTATTGCTGCAAGTTTTATAAACCACTTCTGCAGTGTAGTTGTTAAGTGAACCTCAGCAAACTCCACTTTTGTAATATTCATATTTTGTAATATGAAAGTGCTGATGTGATTTTATCATCATATAATTATATGGCCCTTTCAAGAACAAAAGTCAGAAAGTGTTTCATAATCAAAACTAAACCAAAATCTTGGGAGGGCAGAATCTCAAAAGCTTAATCTCCTTTTTCTTTAACCTGGACCAAGATACAACCACCAAGTACTGAGCAGATGATTTCAGAGACGTAGTGATTACGAATTGATATAGTACTTTACTAATATAGGGAAACAGCTGACCTTGAATAGCCCTAAAATGATCAACGAAATCTTGAATTGAACACTGAACCTTATGGAGAGGCAGTGTCAGTTCAATTCATATTGTGGTAAATCACAACATGAGTCACCTCAAGGCGCTTTACACTGTAAACAAACCCTACAATAATACAAGAAATCCCCGACAGTCTATGACTCACTATGAGCAAGGACTTAGTGACAGTGAGAAGGAAGAAACCTGTTATGTGGGACCTTTCAGAAGACTGGGTGAGAAGCATTTGCAAGTGATCTGGGGATGATTTGCTCAGACAACAGAATAAAAAAATTAAAATAATGATGGTGGGATGAAGTGTAAGCATGTATTATGTTATGACCCAAGATCATGTGGGTTGTGTGTGCGCGTGTTTATGTGGCATGGAAGATTGGATAATGGATTGATCAATCAGTACTTAACCACCAAATGAGAGCCACCTGGCCCCTCTCTCATGGCCTCCACCACCCAACAGCCTGTGCTCGGAATTGTTATGCTGTGTGTCTCTGAGACAAATTGGTATGTTATTAAGTATAAAATCATATGTAAACATTACTGTGTTAGGGTTGGTGTTAGTGTTAACCCTACAAACATAATGCATAAAAAAAAAAGCATACCTAAACTGTGAACACTGGGGATAGAGACACTGGATCTGGGAGAGCTGGAGGGAAGGTGACTCAGCATCCTGGCAATGAACAGGTGTAATTAGGGAAGTGGATACAGCTGGGAACACAACAGGGATAAATCAGGAATAACACTTAACAGAATGCAATGAGATGAAGTACTCTCACAATAAAACAATGGGTGACAGAACACGGAAACCATAAATAAGACAAGACTGACTAAACACAGACTTGACAGGAGAGGATGAAACACTGGGGGGAACTAAACTCTAAAGTAATTTGGAACATGGATGAGTACACAAAATAATACAGACATTACACAACCCAAATATCTCACATTAAATAAACAAAAAACTGGAAAGCCCGTAAAACTCAAGACTGGGTCAGCTGACCCGGGACCACGACAGCCTTCAGATGAACCATCGATCCAGGTGACAGACGTTACTATAAACGAGCGACTCAGGCGCATTTACAGTGTCCCAATCTTTAAAAATCCTCAGTCAAAAGAAAGGAATTAGCTTCTCACTCTAAATGAGCAAATCAAAATCGTCTTCCATCACTTCTGGACACTAGTGTGACTCACTGAGTTGAGCAACTCATATTCTAAAGGTCCACTGCAGAGGCCAAGTTTGAATCAGGCATTTCCTCTCTTTCCCCTGATCTTTCAGTCTGAATTTAATCTGGATCTTTTTATGGTTAAAGTTCTTGCCCTTTATTATTCACAAATGTAACCATTGTCAGCAGGTACTTCGTGCATCACAGTAGACCTAATATTTCCTTCCCTTCTAGTCTCATTGACACAGCAACCTTGTTCTCGGGCTGCATTACACTGTCTAACCAGCATGATGCTGTAAGAATATATGTTTTGACAGGGTTACAAAAACACAGATGCTGCTCTTCTTCTTGAAAGGGCAACCTGCCAAGAGCAAAACCACAATTTTTACCATCCCTATTTAATCAACACAATCTTCCTTCCTTGGTAGGGGAAAATAATCTGGTTTTGTTAATATTTTTTGCCTTAGATGCCCTGTACTGATTTTACTAAGTGAACATGTTTAAATTCTAAAAATACAAGGGAAGGCCCAATTAGAGGAAGTACCCACAGCAATACTAATTTAAACATATATGCTACCTGCTTCAAGTAAGACCATATTCTTACACATTTGTGTGAGTTTGCATGTCTAAAAAGAACAAGTTGTTTACATTTTTCCCATCTAAATCCCCCAGTGTTTTATTTAGCATTTCTATAAGTTTATTCTCACCTTCCTCCAATGTTTCCTTACGTGGAATTACACACATGATAAGGTTTAGGCAATCTACCATGGGAGCTTTTAGAAGACTTCCATTTATCTGGTATTTTGACTGTGTCTCGGTCACTCAGAGCAGATGAATTGGCTCATGGCCTTGACTCCAGATGTTGCAATGATAGAACACAGCTGGATATCTATTTGACTGGTGCATCAGTGTTAACAAATAAGAGCACAACACAATTTATAATGAGAAAGAGGACTCAT